GCGTGATGATAATGCTTTCATGTGTGCGTTTGAGGGGCAGTTTTGTTTTCATCTGGGGGGCACATATGACCGCGAGAGCTTTGGAAAATCTGCGGGGCCCGCCCCCCCCCCCCCCGGTTCCGCCGCCCCTGATGCTGCGAGAAAGTACAAGAGGATTTTGGAAAATAATGTGCTTTGACCCCTGAGGACAAAATCCTGGCAACGCCCACGGGCCTATACATTTCTTTATGCCGTTCAAAAGTTAAAAGAATAATTTCTGAGGAATTGAGAATTGAAAGACTTGGGAAGCTCTAAACAACTACAGGGTGAGTCAAAAAAAGTTGACCCCAAACGCCAAATATATTTCATATGTAAAGAAAAAAAGGTAGCACCAAAAATAATAATGACTGGAAAGCCAATTTCATAAGCTACTTTTAGACGAAAAAAAATACTGAAATTGCTCAATCCGTTCAAAGAATATTACCATTTAAGCGCAATGACCCTAAAACCTGTTTCGTCAAAAAATACATATATTGTGGGTTCTGACTGTTTGGAACAATAAAGAAAATGACACACAATACTTGTTTCAACGACTGTCAACGACAGTAGTACACAATATCTTAATTAACAACCCTGCTTGGGCAAACAATAATTAAGATTTATAAAAGGTCTTCAGAAAGACTTTGTTTGATATTTTAACTTTTAAATTTAGGTTTTATCGCTGGTAATGTTTGAAGCCAATTGTGACAACGATTCAAAAAAAATTTGGACGAAAGAAGTTTTTAATTGGTGATATTCTTTGAACGGATTGAGCAATTTCAGTAATTTTTATTTATCTAAAAGTAGCTTATGAAATTGGCTTTCCAGTCATCATTATTTTTGGTGCTACATATTTTTTTAAATATAAAATACATTTTTTTAGGGTTTGGGTTCCGCTTTTTTTTGACTCACCCTGTATACGTACGGCTGGTGAATAGTCTTAAGAAATGATCGGATGATGAAGGTATTATCCAAAGATTGATCTGATAAAAATAGTTCATTTACTTGGGGAGAATAAAACCTAGAAAGTTTAAAGAGAAATAGATGGCCGACTTAGACAACTCGGACAGATGCTGGTATGTGTTAAAAACATAGTGACGCCAGCGAGGCGTAGAAATATATTGCTTTTTTTCTCAGTTTGTTTTATGGATTCAGCCTTCGAACATAACCCTCAACAATATAAGTGACACCTATTTGATTTGGAGCCTTACAGCGTCTGTCACTGGATAACTTACCCGCATAATTATGTAGCCGTGTATGCCTCATTTCATGCTCTTTTATTCAGATTTGAACGAAACAGTTTGTAATGAGGAATTAATGGTATCTCGCATCTGGCCATGATGTGAAGATTGTTAATATCTTAAAGTTGGGCAGATAGGGGAAATATTTGGGGGAATTGTGCCTTTGATGGTACAAACATGGCTATAGGGCCATCGCAGATTTGTCCTTTGGAAAAATACTGAGGTAGAATAAGAAGCAATTAAAAAAAAAATCAAAATGGCTGCCATTGCTTGTTATTCTACCTATTTTTTTTCAAAGGACAAATCTGCGATGGCACTTTAGCCAAATATTTTTCTCATGACATACTCTGACTGTGTGCCAAATGCCATGCTTGTATCATCAAATGCACAATCCCATCACCTATCTGCCGTACTATTGGTGGTGTTTGGGTAAACCATTGTTGTTTAACACCAAAATATACCCCAGTCAGATAATCATAAAAGATGTGCTAAGGTTAGGGGCGAGGTTACTAATCACCCCTTTCTTCCGATTGTCCAATTTCAATTTATTTTTTCATAATAGAAAAAAAAATAGCTTTAAAGGGAATGTACAACGTTTGCTTTTGCTGCAATTTTCAGAAATAAATGGATTTGGATGTTTAGTATGTTAAAAACAGCAAATATTGTTAAAAATGACTTGATTCACGTTTTGGGCCTGTGGATGCTGAAAACAACAACAAAACTAATCATGTTCTTGTAGTCTGGTTCCCTGACCCCACTTAAGATGAAACGGAGCAATTTATAGACTTTGGGGAATTGTAAGGTCTAGCAGGCTTGTACCCCTTCACAGGTGTATAATCAATTGCAAAGAAAACGCGGAATAACTAATTATGAAAATGTAGGAGCAGTTTTTGAAAAAAAAGCCAGTTTTCTCCAACGCTGGTCGGCCGACCAGCGTTGGAAAAATACAATATTTCTTGAAAATGACAGCACACCAGTAGCCACGATTTTACAGGATGCTTGAGACTGTCATTCCCTAACAATCCAGTAAGGTATTTCGTGATAATTTGATCATTTTGTTTTGTGATGTTTACAAAAGTTGTATCTCCCCTTTAAGCTCTTTGAATAACTTCATCACTCACTATTGGAAATTTTGTAAATTGCTTCAGATTTTCGGTCCTTTTTTATTCGTGGACTGAATGCAACGTCTCATGCAACCTCCTTCCCTTGAAAAATCAGGAACAGCACCCAGGCACCCTATGGTCTTGGATTCGACACAGACGGCAAAGGATAACGCCCATCTGTTTGAACATTGTCTGAGCAATGTCTGAGCAACATATCGCTGGAAAAATCCTAACTTTCCTATCCTTAAATAACGTCCGACACAATCACTAACGTCGGTTCACTATTTAAGACCTTTTAAATCTGTATTTCGAAATGTGTTGGTATGGTACAGTCCATGTTGCAAAGATGAAGGAAAACCTAAAAAAATACCTTCTCCAAGTATTATCCGATCCATCTCAAATGAAAACGAGTAAAAAGTACCATTTTCACTCCAAGATACTTTTCTGGTGAAATTCGTACATCATTTGATGAGGTACTGTGTTAATATGGAAAGAATTGTTTTAAATCTGTTTAACAGCAAATAGATCACGGCCATAAAACAAAAGCAAGGTCTTTTCTCGACTGACTACCCTTTCATTTTGTTCTGATTTATCTTATACGTTTTAATTATGATACTTTTACGACCGGTGGGCCACTGAAGCGTTTTTACTTTAAGAATTCGTTTATTTGTCCGGAGTGTTTTTATGAATGCCCGTACATTTTCGAAGTAATCTCCTGCCTTACTTGGGCGAATGATTTTACAGCCAATGAAATTAGCATATTCTTGGTAAAAAAAAAAGGTCAGTGCTCTGTACATCGGGGGATACGATTTCACAAGAGTTTGAAATTTCTCATCATTTGTGCGGGCGCACTTTCTACAAGATTTAGATGTGTATGTATCGGCCCTCTTCTACTTTCCATTTTCTCGAATTACAATTTTCTCGCTTTTCACACGTACAAAAAAAATATATTCACACTTTTTTATGTGGCGGCCGCCACTTATTATCTGGCGGCCGCCACATAAAAAAGTGTGAATATTTTCATTTTGTACGTGTGAAAATATTTTTTTGTACAGCGGCCGCCACTTATTATGACGACTTATGTGGCGGCCACTTATTATCTGGCGGCCACTTATTATCTGGCGGCCGCCACATAATAAGTGGCGGCCGCTGTACACAAAAAATATTTTCACACGCACCAAAAAAATATATTCACACTCATTGAGTGGCACTATCCGTCTTCCGTAGTTTTATGCCCAATGCGTAGATTTGTGTTGTCCACCAGGGATTTAATAAGATGTGTACAACATCCTGTTAGAATGTAAAACCGAAGCGGAAAGCGGGGGCGGGGTGGGTTGGGAGGGGGTTGGGGAGGGGCTGGACAACATTCGTCAGTTAAGTAGGTGGTGCTGACCCTGACCGAGTGCGCTTCGACGGTCTTTTTTTCAACATTACTTTTGGGCTGTGTGGTCTTGTTGACAGAAGGATGTCATGACGTCATGATCGGCTCCCCCTTTTTGTGCAACGCAAAAATCGGGGGAGCGGGGATGGGGGGATCATAGGGCTCCCGGCAAAAAGTTGGGGGATTTTGACCATGATAGGGGGATGAAGCACTACATTAGAGAAGGAGTGATATTGAAATGTGTAGATAAGTTTAGAATTACCTCAATGTTATTTAAAAAAAAAAAAAACAAAAAAAAAACCTTTTGCGCACAGGAAAATTTGAAAGAGGAGTGGAGACAAATACATAGTCATATGGGGCGCTCTATAAACGATCAATATTTCCACATTTTGTTTTAAAAACAAATTAGGAAAAAAGGTGAGAATGACGCACGGGGCAAAAACCACATAATTTAAGAAATATAATCTCGTACATCAAAAGTGCAATGTTCGCTCTAAGGAGTTACAACTAAGTGTGGGCCTGTATATGCGTTAATATTCCACCTTCACAGTATGGGGTACCATTTTTTATTGAATGTTTGTCGACATAAACTTTTATGGTCGGCGGAAAAAGACATAGTGTTATAAAAACCAAAATCCCTTGTTTGGTTTTCCGTGTTCTGGCTTTTATTGCTACCCGTATATTTCTTCTTAACGTTATTACAATCTTCATCAAAACAAAGCCATTAATTTTGCATTATCTATTTTCTTCTTTGTCTTAAAAAATGTGTTTATATAGATTGTTGAATTGAGGCCAACTCCGTCGATTCTGATAATATTAAAATTACCCCTTTCTAGTGTAAATATCAGGGACTGATTTTAAAATGCAGAATTTATATGATAGATATAGAAACACAAGTGGACCTGAGTATAAACATAAGAGGAGATAAAAGATTTTTGTTTAAATTCTTGATGTGATTTAAAAAAAAAAAAATTCCTTCTATTTTTCTATATATCCACCATAATTTTTGCATTTTAACCTTTTAGTCTGCCGGCTGGTAGGCCTATAACCATTTTATAAGCTACCTCTCATGATGAATAAAGCTCATCTTTGTCATCCCCTCAAATTTTATTTCGTCACTAATATAGTCAGTTTTATTACTGGAAAAGAGGTAAAACTTGCATGTCGTAAATACTTTCGGGTGTTGAACTATCAAACCACGCCCCCCCCCCCCCCCCCATAAGGAAAAGTATAGCGCCACCATGTGGTGATATTGTTGCTGGGCAACGAGGTACGCGCTTCACGAGCTGAAGCAGGTACAGGTGCCTTATATTACACAGGTGTTTACTAAATTGATTGCCTAATATCGGCTGCGAAATGCCCTGAAATCACGTACGTACGCACGGGTTGTAATTTGACCAGCTGAGTCGTGTGTGTGCATTGCATGCATTGACAGGCTAAACGGGCAAATGACTTAAAAAGAGAAGACACATAGGCCTAATTCGCCCCCCTAATTCAGTAATTGGTTGGTTTTGCGGTTAGTAGATTGGCTAGCTTGAGTAATTTATGCTTCGATCATTTTGACGGTAACCGATAAATCATTCGCGATGAAGATCTGAACGTTCTTGACATCCGTGCAGTAGTGGTGGGAGTTTGGAACCGACTGGAAATAATTAACAAGGTAGGTCAGTCTGTGAAGCGTAAGTAGTTATATATACTACGCCTAGAACTATGGTGCTCCGCGTAGTTATATACATGTAGCAGTAGCCTTAAATCTTACAAACTGCAGCTTTTAATTGAACAAAGTATTTAAATAGCCGTGAACCGGTCCCGCATTTTTCCGTTCTTAAGCCGTCAGATCCTATCTCATCCATGTGTATACAAGTAGGCCTACATCATATTACTTCTAGAATTAGAAGGCACCTCTCGTTAGCTAACGAGAGATGCCTTCTAATTATAGAAGTAACACCATACCAGATAGGTAGTGGATATTTTGCCGGAGGTAATGATGGCAAACTAACGATTACTAAAGGTTTGCCGGCGGCAATCCATATCAACAGAGGGCGCTGTACTCTTTAAAATAGGGCTGAATTATAAGATGTATTAAATTCCCACCAAAAGTTGTGTAGCACGTTTGGTGTAATGGTTAAGCAAAGGCTCTAGTAAGCGGGATGACTCGCGTTCGATTCCGACCGCACCACATTTTTAAGTTGTTTTTTTCTCATCCCCAAATAAATAAGAATATTCTTCTTTTATTATTTTAACATGTCCCAAACATTTTTTGCAGAGTATTACATTTTCTTTTTCAGATTTGTGGCTCTGGAGGATTTTTTTAAAAGGGAACTAAAGTCCGAAATTATAAAATGGTCTGAATCCCATCTTGTGAATACGAGGTAACAACGATATTTTTGGCATGGAGCCAGACTAAAACTTGTCACCGGAAAACGTTAAAGTACAAAAAAAACAGTAACTGCGCATGTTCAGTGCATATCCGGCAAACTAACGTTTACTACAGGTTTGCCGTCTCCGGCAAAATATACACTGCCTACAAGATACTATTGCAAACCCACATCAAGTGAATGCGTACTATTGGATAGTGTGCCCGCCTTGTAGCACGCCACTCCAGTTCGAGTCCTGGCCTTGCCATTGTTTTTCAAACTTTATTTTTTGTTTAGTGCCAATCAAATATGTACTGCCTAATACTTAAATTAGGCTTAATTTCAAAAACGAAGTTGCAAATGCAAAATTAATATCACATATAGTTGGTGCACATGGCTGCCTTCTAGTTCTAGAATTACGTAGGTGGCCAGTGTATAACCCATAAGAAGTTACAACTCTGAATATAACATTCTTAGTAAGAACATTATGTGGATCAAATAACCATCATTTTTTTCAGTGTAAATTTAACCATACAGCTACACAGAAGCCTTCTTTGCATAATAAAGTCCCAGCCATAAATGCTGCTGGTCAATCGAAAAACTCCCAACTGTTGATTATTACCATTCATCATGTCTCAGTTTAAAATCTGATAAAATATTTTTTTTAAAGGGCATAGGCCTATACTATTACCAGACTCCATTAAACATGCTTTTCATCACTATGGTTCAGTTTACAAAACAGTTGTAATGGGATGAGGCATGGTGGACACATAATCCTGGGCTGTTTTTGTATAGTTGCGATGGTAATAGGTTCAGCTGTACTCTGCCATTGTGGGTTCTGTTGCAAAAGATCAGGACATTAACGTTCAAGTTTAGGTACCCACTGTCATCAGTCACTCTTGAGCCAACAACACAGGGCATAGGAAAGTTGTACTGAATTTATAGATGTCAACTTTGAAGGAAAAAAACGTAAGCATAATAGCATATTAAGCCACGCTCTTGCAATCTGTCACATTCATTAGCAGCAGCTAGATCATTATAGAAGTTGCCTTTAACCAAGAAAGCAGGTGGGAAAAGCACAGTGTTGCATGGATGAGGTACATCTGATGGATCACAGAAGTACCTCAAAAGTCCAGTCACAAGTCAGTTCACAAGTTCAGTCACAATTAAGCAACAGGTGACGAACAAAGGAATGGCTTTCTTACAGTTAATTTGAAGAGCTTGTGACTTGACTTGGGACTTGATGACTGGCATTGTTAGGGGTGTAGTCAAGTCCATCACAAGTCCATCACAAGTTCAGTCACCAGTCCATTCACGAGCAACAGTGGATGAACAATAACAAAGTAATGCTTCTGTCAAAGCTCATTGAATTGGGATCGGAGGCCTTGTGTTGAACTTGCAGTGACTTGCAGGTACTTGTGATGGGCCTGACTGCGTCCCTAATGTCTTGTGATTGACTTGTGATGTCCTGCGATGACTTGTGATCTGTCACAAGTACCTCAACTACAATACTGAAAAAATGCTGGTCCTTTGAACATTTAATACCAAGCTTGTTTTGTCTTATCCCTTAGTGATCAGCATCGGAAGACAAAGAGATTCTTGGCACAATGGCAACACTCCACAAAGCATCCAAACGGCCCTGGGGCACAATCACCAAGCCGGACAGCATGGGCCTGGGGCACCAGAAAGTCACAGCCTACGAGGTGGAACAGACTGTCAACAGGCTGTACTACGTGCCCAAGGCCCGAGAGGCCAAATACACCCGGCCTAACCCAAAGATGAACAGCAGCGACATCAGGAAGCTCATTGAGAGACTGACCAGCAAGTCTCCAGAGAAGATTACGGATTCCAAGCGGGTTCCAGAGGGGAAACTGAGAGAGATTGGAATTCTGAACTCGTTTGCTTGGAAGGGATACAACTGACAAGGTACTCGCCAGCAGCAGATGAAAGAAGAGTGCAGCCAGTAAACTACAACCATTGCAACTGATGAAGCATTGATTTCCCTATTTAAAGCATTCTTTTGATATGGATTGCATGCTTGAACAGTAGATATTGCTGTGTAACCTCTCACACGGGTTCTAGTGTAGTGGACACTGTGTTCACGTGGCAGTTTTTCATATAATTATAGCACTATAGAAGCTAATTCGGTCACCATTCACCGAGGTGAAACCATACTGGCTGTATGGCTTCATATGCACAAACCCAATTCTCCTAGGCGAAGTAAAAAATAAAAAACGTGTTTCTCATCCCCGCCCGCTTCCTTTTTGGAGGCCGCCTGGAATTTTTTATTATTTTTTATATTTGAAAAATGCAGTAAAAAAAACACTGAAAAAGTCCACAAATTCATAGGAAAATAAATTGTAGACCAATACAAGTCTAAATGACACTGTAAATATGTTCAGTTCTCTTGTCCCACTTATTTTTCATTTTAAAAGTGTCTTTGAACAGTGGGAACACCAACGGTTAGAGGGAAATTTTTAAATGGCGGCCATCTTGAAACAAATAGAAAATAGAAAATAAAAAGCCCCGTTTCCTCCTTTTAAAAAAAAACCCAGACGAGAAACATGTTTTTTTTTATTCAGCCCTATAAGGTTTATATCCAAATCATCACAGCTCAAGAATATGATTATGAATGCATGCCACATGCCATGTATTGTATCACGTCAGAAATGGCTTCTGTTTTTGTTCATATGCATGACCAATATTGGGTCTCGGATTTAGATTTAAAAAAAAAAAGTGAAAGAACCCCCCCCCCCCCCCATCGGCAAAAACCATATGCATAAAAATTACCTACATTGTACAATTGTATTTTTGTGTGTGTTGTGCTCCCGGCCCTATCTGGTACTGTGGCTCCCCTAATGCCCAGAGTAGATTGGGAGATGTAAAAGATATTGACATTTCCGATAATGGGTAACTAGAATGAAGTTTGAAATTGCCGATTGACAGTCACTAGCATCGTTTGGTTTTTGAGCTATGAGATTTACTTATTTCCATACACAGCATGCTGAATTGCATATTTTTTTTTAATGGATGGCTCCACAATTATGCCCTATGGAGTTTGTTAATTCAATGCGTGATGCCACTCCACAAAATGCTAGTTTGCCACATATTCCCATGCTGTTACACCATCCTGCATAATAGGCACTTTAAAGGGAATATACATCATTTGCAAATATTGTTACACTGACTTTTTTGACGTTTTGGGTTCGTAGATGCTATAAAAACCAATAAAAACAATCATTTTCCTGTAGTCTGGTTCCCTGACTCCATTTAAGATGAAACTGAGCAATATATAGACGTTGGGGAATTATAAGGTCAGGGAACCAGTCTGGCTGGCTTGTACCCATTCACAGGTGTGTAATCGATTGCAAACAAATGCAGACTTAGAACTAAATATGGTCAATTGGGGCAAGTATTTGAAAAAAAGCCAGGTTTTTCCAACGCTGGTCGGCCGACCAGTGTTGGAAATTGATATAAAATACCACTTTTCTTGAAAATGACAGTACACCAGGTGCCATGATTTTACAGGATGCTTTAGACTGTCATTCACTAACAGTCCAGCAAGATATTTCCTAATAATTTGGTAGATTTATTTTTTGATGTTTGCAAATGTTGTATTTTCCCTTTAACAAAAATTAACACTACGTATTTGATGCACGGAAGACTTGTTTTTAACATATGGCACAAAATGATTGCGCAGCGAAGTAGCTTTTTTTAAAATGGGATTTTTAATTGACAGTTCAGTTATCACTTGGAGACACAAGCTGATGAAAATTAGGAATACTTTGACATTCTGTTGTGTATTTTGTCATCATTTTTTAATACAAGGATTTGTTTACTGTCAGTTGTGTAAGCATATCAGGCGAGTGAATTTTTTTACTTTACGATAAGGTGTTGGTTTTGTTATTTATGCATCGTTTTCTAGTGCATTAAATATTTACTTAAAATTTGGTTTGTAAGCGGTAAATGTTTACAAGTGCTCAACTATTGAAAGGCAACATAAGTGTATATTTTTGAAAATTCCTTTTTTATAGCTTTGTATATTTACTCAAGTCTATTTATTTTTCGATTTGCAAACAGTATTGAGTGGTTGCACGTTTTCTACAATCTCTGTTAAAATCAATAGATCAATTTTTTGTGTGTGTTCTAGCTTAACTCACAGTGGTGCTATAAATAGACAATTGTAGAAAAAAAACGGGTTTTTTTTTTTAGAGTACATGTAATTCTAGCTTTGAAAGAAAATCTGAGAAATACCAGCAGCCAGGGATTAATTGTTCCATAGGCACCAGTGTTCAGTAGGCCCTACTGCGCCCTAGGTACCGGCACCAACTTCATGTTGATGCTAAGCTGCACTAAGCAAGCCAGGCCAAACTGGTAGCTGGGTCTGTCCACACTAACGGTTACAAAAGTGTGACATTTAGAGGGAACCATGGACAAGGAGTCGATACATGAAGTAATCTGTCATATTTTCCTTTTCTACATCCAATATCCTGGTCAGAAATCAGCTCAGAATATTGCCCACCAACAAGTTTGATAAATTTCTCAGGTTTCAAGAAATTACAGAGGATTATCTTCAAGATTTAACGTTCATAACATGGACAGACATTTCATGTTAAAGTGGTGGGAAGCAGTAAATAAAACACATAAATTTGCCCAAATTTGTTCCTAATGTAAAGCTGCCAATTAAGAGATTGCCACTGGCCAATCTCATGTTAAACTTCTATGTATTTTTAACTACAGGGTGTACACATCTTCAAGACTTCATGTTCATAACAGGGACAGAAATTGTGTCACAAATTTATGTCCATGTTATGAACATTTATCAAGTCGCATCCTAATTTCATAAATACTTAACAGGTTGCTTTAATGTTGAATGATACCAATTCTTCATTGAATATGTAATATAAATGGAACATGGGCTGGATTTATTATAACAAGAACATATAGTATGATTCAAGAGTGTCCATCCATGTTATGAACATTATCCTTCATTTCAACTTAAAGATGGCCGAGTAATTTCCTACATATCCAGTGAATCAGCCTAATTATTTATCAGTGCCATCACAGATAATACAGGAATATTTAAAAAACAAACTTAGCAAAAAACCTGCTTTGAAATCCACCTCCCATGTCTCACCCATAAAGTTATAAGTTGTAACCGTTAGTGTGGACAGACCCAGCTCTAAAAGCCCTAGGCTCCCAAATTTTTCGTAGGCCCTAGGCACAGTGCTTACTGTGCCTATTGTGTAATCCCGGCCTGGGAGTAGCCAGTGTATGCAACATTGCGTTATGCAGTTTATAAACTCAGTTCTAAATTGCTCCACACCACACCACAAACTTTACAAAGATGGGTCCGTCTCTGAAGTGGAATTTTCAATCACTTATGGCTGAGGCACATTCCATGTAACTGTGGCATTGTGTGATATAGTATTTTTACGAGTTTTCCTTTCATCTGTAGAACAGTTTGGACTGATTATTTATATACAATTCTAATGCACAGAGGTTGAAAATGTGAACCTAAAAAGGGATTCCAAAGACATTCCCATTCCTTTTTTTTTTGAACTTTTTACCTGTAAAATTAAATACAATCATTTATAGAAAGCGAGCATAAGAAATCAACTGACAAATATCAGTAAAATTTCGAGGATTTAAACTAAGAACACCTTGAGTAAGTCTGCAGTTTTGAAGACTTTTGTGGAATGCAGATGTGATTTTTTTTTTAAATCAGTGTGTAAAAGATGTTTTTGCTGTGAGAAGACCAAAGTTGAAATGCCAGACTAAATTCAATTTGAAAAATTAAACAATTTCGTAATAAAACAAGATTGAGCAAAAACCAGGTGCTGTATTTTATCCTTTGTCATTGTGTGAAATTGTCAAATACATGTATAAATGATGAATTAATTAACCCTAACCACCCTCAATCCTCCAAAATCTGCATGGCAGTTTTGGAGGATTGAGGATGAATTATGTTTGAGAAACATGAGGATTTTGGAGGATTTAGGATGAAAGGAGTTTGAAGAAGTGGAGGATTTTAGAGGCTTGAGGATGAATGCATTTTTTGAGGTAGGACTGTCTGACGATTTTGAAGGATTGAGGCACTGGGTATCCTTTGTTTGAACATAAGAGCAAAATTTTGGAAGATTTTGGATGGTTCCTAGCAAAAAAGCCATAGGGAGTAGAGTTAATTCGATTCCCCAACAATGATAAGATGTAGCACAGATACTAATAAAAAAATCGTTATAAAAAGTTCAAGAAAGTTAAACAAAGGATGCTGCATGAGGGATGAATGAAACAAGTGATTGAAATGAACACATCCTCCATGTCCATGTTCCACTACTTTTATTACCTACAAAAGTATCACAAATTGTAACTCCATTAACTGTGTCTCTTTATTACACATCAAAAAATATGCACAGAGGAGGTAAGATCAGATCCAGAGAAAAAAAAACCCTGAAAATAACTCTTTTACCAAAAGGTTGAAATTTTCCTTCCATGCAGAAATTTGGCAGCCTAATTTTTGGCTTGCGGTTCACATTTTTAGTGTTTTATGCCACTTGCAATTTGAATAATTTTCTTCCGCTAGCAACAGCCACCGTATGCCTTTGTGTAAGGCACTGCCTAAGCAATAGAATATCTGAGCGATTTCTAATCAAGACAGAATATTGGATAAACAAACCAATGTGTAAAAAAAAAGTAAATTATGCATTGTTCACACGAGTTGCTGCATGCTCGAGTGTAGCCTTTAGTCAAGTCCCACGCGCTTACCCGGACACGTAACGCACCCCGGATGCTGACACGTAAAAAGACTAGCACGAGCGGCGAAGCCGCGAGGGCCTTTACCATCTCGTGGAGAACGCTTATGTTTTTCTTTACATTTGTCTACCGATTTGGTAGACATGCCTAATGCATTGCCCGTTGTGAATTGACCAATGAAAATGCAGCATTACTAACGTAAATCAGCCGTCGTCTGGCGCCAGACAGCATGAGCGCCATGGCGCGGGTGCTGTTGCTGGTTAACTGCAAACCACTGTTAGATGATTGGTTTATATTGCTTGATTTATATTACGTGAAAAAATGAATAAGTGATTAGTTCCACGAGATGGTAAAGGCCCTCGCAGCTTTGCCGCTCGTGCTAGTCTTTTTATGTGCCAGCATCCGGGGTGTGTTACGTGTCCGGATGGTCCGGGTAGACGCGTGGGACTTGACTAAAGGCTAGCTCGAGTGAAACATCGATTCGGCTTATTGTTGGAAACAAGCAGTAGACCAGGGATTGGAGGCTAGTTTTGGAAAAGCAAAATTAAAAATAAAGTTTACTAAAATACTGCTGACTTGTTTGGTAAACTTAAAACATTTACATTCCGGTTAATAATATTTCAGTAAACTGATTATGCAAAACATTATTTTTCCAGTTTATATCATAACATGCTTCCAACTGTTACCCAAAAAAATTTACATTGAAAAATACAGATCCAATACATAACATATATATTGTACAAAACATGATCTCAACTTTTTGAATTACTTGATGTGAACAGCATATTTTTCTTTAAAAAAATAATTGATATACACGTACATTGTGTATCTCCCACCACGAAAGTTCTCTTTCTGAAAAGAAAAAGCTGGCCCACAATGAAATAATGAAATGATTAACCATACTGAAATGCTTTGCAATGGAATCAATTTTTTTAAGCGTTTACTGTTTAAACAAAAATAGAATGTTACACAAAAGCTAGCACACATTCTTTGAATACATTTGAAGCATACCAAAAACCCTGCTGACAATAGTTAAAAAAAGAAGAATATTCTAAATTAGAGGCAAATAAAAGATGTATATTGTAAATTTGACTTTTTGAAATGATTACATCACCTAATTCCTATCAAGGTTTAAAATAAAACTTGAAAAACTGTGTATTGCAAGAGTTAATGCCTTTGTAGAAGAAAAAGGCATTAAGCCTAACTTTTATGGCTGATGAATTAGAAAAGAAAGCATGGTGACTGACTTGAAATTCTTCAAAATTGTTCAGGTGAAAACAGGTGACATGTCACATGAGGGGACCAGTAAAGTGCCAGTCAACTTTCACCCACTTGGGTAGCATCACAGATGCATGGTTTCATTTTCTCTAACTCTGCTACAAATATACTTTGCGAGGGTCCTGCTGAACCTAAGGGCAGCCACGACGGAACCATCGGCATTAAGCAGAAAAGTAATGCTCAAGTCACAAAACTGAGAAATCGTGTGATTCCCGTGCAACAAGCGGCATCTCGACACAAAATAATCGCAACCATGCTCACAACACCAACGATGCGACAACGATTCCTTGGCATAGACATGATCATGTGACTCATTAAAAACGATCTTCCACGGCCTTTTGAGTTCATTTGACTATTTTTGCTGCATGCTAACTGGCTACACAATGAAATAAGAAGATCCGGATGCGCGCTTGACATCTGAAACTTCACACAAGTCGACTCCCGGGTGCAGAAGTTGAAATTTTGTCGCAGTTACATTCAGGTCGCAAGAATTGGCAACGGTTGTAGCTCAGGCGCAGCTTGATCCTGAAAAGTCAGTCGCCGACTGTTCTGTGTCGTCGCAAGGTCGACCCAAGGGCAGCCTAACGATACCTAACAACTGCCAAAGTGTGAAGGCTACTAAATCCTACAGGATCCTACAAAATTAAAATCCAGCAAAAACTGGATTTTGTTGGTTTCAGCAGGGTTAGGGATAAGTGCTACTTGCCAAAAATCCAGAGCCATACCTTCATGTAGCAGCTACACGTATAAGCTCCAATACACAAATTATAAGAGTGAGCCAAAAAACCAGACACGTGGCTTACACAAGTTGAGTTGTCAGACTTAAAATCATAATGAATACATGTTATTGCCAGGAAATAAACTGAGCAAATGACAACGTTCACTGACATTTGCTTCTTGCACAAGAAAAACAAAAAGAGCAGCTGAACTTGCTAAATAAATCTTGTTCACATGCACTATGTTGGTTGCCAAATTGTTATGTACGAATGCATTCAAGCGGCTGAAGTTTTGAGGTGCAGCCTCTTTCATCAAAATTCAAAATCTCTCAAGATCATCGGAATATCCTTGTCATTTAATCATTCCCCCAAAACCCTAATCTCTTATTGCATTCAAAACCCCTTACAATCATCCATGAGGTATATATTTATGTCAAAAATGCTGACAAGAAAAAACCTTACTCAAGACCGATTCATTCTTCAGGCAATTGTGAATTTGAAGTAAACATGACGTCACAAAACATACTCTGTGAAATTGTCCCGAGTTGAAATGTGTTAAGTTATCCCTCAAGTTTTAAAAAAAAATGTCCAAAGGACTTTTTGACGAATATGCTGTCCTTGAACGAACAGATTGGTGTTTTAGCATTTAGAGGCAATGATTCCTTTAACAAGATCTTTGTATGTTGCGCTGATTTCACACTTGGGCTGAATTTTGACTTGGCCCGAGACAAGTGTTGCGATTGGTCTGGGCAGTATGCATACACCAGTGTTGTTGCTGTAGAGACCCTGCAAGACCACCACAAGACCAACACCACAAGACCCACAATCGTGCCCTGTTACTTGCAGCTGGTCATGTGAATGGTCTTGTGCTTGCTCTACAATTGGTCTCCTGTCTGGTCTTGTGATGTACATTGTTCAAGTACTGTTGTGTCACTTGTTGCAATTTGGGCACTTTGTGTGTTGTTGATATCGGCTTAAGTCCGACTTGAGTCAAGTGTGACCGAATTAGGAGTGTCTTGCTCACTAATTACAAAGCAGAATTGAAAAAAAAATTGATAACGTAGCGTGGACCAAATTTCTTTCTTTCAATGTCTCATGGGAAAGTTCATAACTTTTGTAATTCCATCTTATAATAGTTTATGCGGTACCCGCTGCTATGTACATCAGATTCGAACCAGCCAACCGATCCCGTTAACTCGGTGGTCGAGTGGTAAGACATCTGCAATAGAAAGCAGGAGGTCGTGGGTTTGAGTCCCACCTGAGTGATTTTTTCCAACTTTCACTCTGGGGGTAACACACTGAGTATACAGTGTTTAAACGTCGGTGAAGGGCAAAACCTAATTTGATTGATATCACCCCGACGCAAAAATTCCATCTTAGAATAACTTTTGTAACGTTAACAAATGATCAATTCAATTTGGAAAGATTTCCATATACGAAGTTCACTAATTTTCCTCTGTATTGACTAACAAGCCCCCAGATAGCAATTTCATGTCATCAAAGTCAATTTGAGCAGTGAGAAAATACAGAGTTGTAATGACTCGAGTCAATGACTCGACTCGAGTCCGACTCGAGTCACATTTTTTGGCGACTCGACTCGACTCGAGTCCTGACGGGTAAATGACTCGACTCGACTCGAGTCACTGCGAGCAAATGACTCGACTCGACTCGAGTCCCTCATCAGAATGACTCGACTCGACTCGAGGAAGGCTAATAAGACTCGAGTCCCAAAATAAAAGCAAAACTTACTTGCGAAAAATATTTGCAATGACTTACGCTGCGCCGTTCGCGTTGCCAGTTTTTGTTCACGTCACGTTAATGTTCGCGAATAATGTACGTTTATATACAGCGGCAGTCTGTTTCCTTCCTCCATAATGAAACAACAAACATACACCGTGTCGCGGACTCCCACCTTGTGGTTCTATAGCATGTAATGCTAAACCCGGAACCAGACTTAAAACGCATTTCTCAATCCGTGGTTTCATCATTGGTTTCGGGCGATTTTGAAGTTCTTGGTGGAACGCTGGCTAAATTCATGTCCCGATTTCACACAAAAAAATGGATACGGACGGGCCCACCTTTAAATAATCAGAAACAGTTTTGTATAATGCAATTAGGTTTTAACGTTGTCAGCGATCAGCGAACAACAAAATCTAGACCCGAAGCCAAACCGGTTATAAGACCGAAGTTTCACATCTTCTTATCTGTGACGTGAGCTAGCAATGGAAACTGTTGGTTGGGTACCATACAGCATACTTTATGTCTTTGGATTTCCGTAATAGACTGGTGCCTTGTATTCTTTCTCTCTTGTGTTTGTTGCTTTTTATTGTAATTTAGTGTTCAAATATTTGTGACTCGAATTGACTCGAGCTAAATACTTGACTCGACTCGACTCGACTCGACCACACTCTGTGACTCGACTCGACTCGACTCGACCTTGTTGACCTAATGACTCGACTCGACTCGAGTCACTTCTTTAAAATGACTCGACTCGACTCGAGTCACAAAAATCAGTGACTCGTTACAACTCTGAGAAAATACAAGCATTTTCTTAGAAAACACTTAGAATTTTTCAGTCCAATCTCATAGGGTTTGTACACAGGGTGTTGAGTGAACTTCGTATATGGAAATCTTTCCTTCAATTTTAACAATTGCCACATCCAAAAACCAAGAAACCCTCCCCTCAAACTTTTGGAAAATTTCCAGATTGAATGCTTGCCATGACGTCACAAGTTTACATTTGCATTCACTTTTGCTCTAAGCATGAACCGGCCTTCAGTGAGTGTCTTTTACTTTTATCTCTTGTTGGACGTCCATCGTTTGACCATCTCCTCGATGGTACAGAGATTGGACTCCATATCTTCGGGCGTGTTGCTCTGTAGCTCAAAGACAATGCTGGGGAGGTAGGAGCTGACCGCCTCCTCAAGAATGGTCTGGAAGATTTCGCACTGGACATTGTCCTCGAGTTTCTTACCGCTGTAGCCTCTGTGTGTATGGAGAAAATTGTTGTGACAAAAATTATATTGTAAATAACAGGAACAGCAATGGTATCTATTTTGTTGGATACTGTAATTTCATTGGTCTATATACAGCCCGTTCTAAACGCCGCAAAACTGCCATGCCGAACTCAATTAATTAGATTTTTTTTAATTCGGCATGGTGGTAGCACGGCGTTTTAGAACCACTTTGCTCAGCGAATTGAGTTCAGCATGGCAACACCCTTTAAGGCGACAGGGCTGCCCTTCTGAACGGAAGTGGCACGGCACTTTTCTAAACGTCGGGCCATTGCCGTGCCGAACTCGCTTCAATTGGAAGTTGGGGCAAACATTTTAGGAATGCGCATGCTCACAATACCCTCTCTCGCGTCCGCATCACGAATATCTTGATCCTGCTGAAGGAACTGCTTTAACCTGGCCAGTTACTCGAGATGCATTGAGGTTCGACTATTAAGTTCTGCGTTTAGAGCAACTGCGTGCTTGTGAACGAGCTATTGCCGCCCTCATTTCAGTTAAGTTCGGCGTGGCAGAAGCACAGCGTCCAGAACGGGCCTAACAGCAACACAGTGCTGTAGTCAAGTCCATCACAAATCATCCAGTCCCAAGTCAAGTCACAAGCTATTCCAATTGACTTCCACAAACACATTCCTTTGTTAGTTGTAACTTGTAACTAGACTTGTGAAAGGACTTGTGATGTTGTGCGACCGGACTTGAGATAAGCATGACTACAACACTGCTGTCATCATGTGTCGACTTTGTACTTCTTAGATACTGTCTCACACATCATTTCCATAACAAAGTTGCAGAACGTAATGTATAAAAGATGAAATCGGCCTGTCTACGGGCTCTGAGTATGAACAAAAGATGGTGCGTTGTCACCATTTGTGAGAGGCTGAGAGAGCTCCGGGTTTGGGACACATGTGCATGCACACTGCATCATGCACCAGTGGCCTGAAGTACATCATGTACTACAGTCACACATGAGTGCCAGGTGCATGGCAGCAAAACGTTCAAAAGTCCCCCCCCCCCCCCAACTGTTTGTTTGTAACACAGAGTTCACAGCAGCCATTAGGTTTATATGTGGTAAAGCCCATAAAACAAAAGTTTAATTTTTGTGAGAAACATGGCGCGGAAGGTACAATGTGTACAAATGGTCCCATTACATCCTCTACTAACATAGTAGGCTATACAATTATAAACTATTAGCTCAGCAGGTTAACTATAAACGCATTTCTTTGATAATGCTTTTCAGAGTGTGTTCTCACCTTTGTTCAAGTCTGTTGTACAGGTTTGTGTTGTCTGTACGCAGCACAAAGACAAAGTCGAACCAGCGCTCGGGAAAAAACTCGCAACTGTGATAGTCCACGATGCAGCCGCCTTGTCTCAACACATCATCCAACTCATCAATAACCTTAAAGGGAAGATACAACATTTGCAAACATCAAAATACGAAATGATCAAATTACAAAATGTATCACAAAATACCTCACTGGATTGTTAGGGAATGAAAGTCTGAAGCATCCTGTAAAATCGTGGCTCCTGGTGTGCTGACATTTTCAAGAATACTTTTATTTTTCCAGCGCTGGTCGGCCGACCATCGTTGGAGAAAACTGTCTTTTTTACAAAGTCTATAAATTGCTCTGTTTCATATCAAGTGGGGTCAGGGAACCAGACTACCAGAACAAGATTGGTTTTCTTGGTTTTCCCAGCATCTACAAGCTGAAAATGTGAAACAAGTCAGTTTATCAATATTTGCTATGACATACTAATCCTCCAAGTCCGTTTATTTCTGAAAAAAGCAAATGTTATACATTCCCTTTAATACAGAAAGCAAGATTTGTCCATACGCTGTAAGTCTTTGGAATATTTTTGGTTTCAGAGGCATTCAAACATCATGAATCGTTAGCTAGTGGGGTGTCTGGCTGTCGTGTGGGCATCTTGTAGGCTATTTCAGACATCCCATTTTGTTGTGCACATGTATGCAAAAGCATGCAACTTCGTCCAGCAAATTCCAGCAATTACTTTTATACAAGTTTTACAAGTATGGAATTGGTCGATAAGTAAATTGGTTTAAGTCAAAAGAGAACTCAGCCAGTTCATTTGATGAATTCAGTTTCCATCTATTCTGATGTGCCTTAAGGATCAGCCCAAATTTCAGGAATGGCATACCAGCTTGTTTTACAACAAAATTAAAAATCCTGTCTTGAATACAATAATACACAATCCATCATAAGCAATTTGCGAGTGAATTCCAAGTATTTTTTTGTTTTTATAACTGGTCAAAGAAAACTGAATTCCCAAGACTGTTACTGTAGCACATAATTTGGGGCTAGCCTTTAGGCCAGTGACCTCCAACTCTGGAACAGTGTGATGTCTTTGTGCCCATTCTCACCACCTGTAAGCCAGTATGGTAGTCAATTGTGTTCTACAAGCCACTCATTTTTAAAAATTATTTTCTCGTTTACACTAAACTTGGCTCCAATCTGCCGTTCCATCTGATAAGCATTTGTGTGATGCGAACAACTCACACATAAGTATGCAAGAGCTGTTCCGAAATAACAAGTTTCGCTGGTGGGAGAATTCGATAGAGAAATAGGTCAAACAATACCAGTAAGAGAACGATCCAATGCCGCACACTGTGTGTTCCAAAATTAGACTTTTGTGGAACATACGTGTATATCACAACTGTAATTGATCAAACATCATGAGACAGGGCTTATTAGATCAATTTATTGTTTAAATTTAATTCACATATATGTTGCAGTTCACTCACAAATAGTCCAATCTTACCCTTTCTTCATCCAAGAACGGGCACTCGTATTCATCATCCCATCCCTCGTATAATTCTTTCTCCTTGGCTACATCACCCACATTGATATAGTTCATGGACAGCCGTTCGGCTAACTCCTGTCCAAGGGTGGTTTTACCGGTTCCAGGTGTCCCTTTATGTTTTGTTTGGAGAAAAAGACTACGTACAATTATTAAGTTTGTTGATCGAAACAATAATTTTTTGTGTTTTTGAACAGTTTGTTGGGGTAAAAATGTGATTTTTTCTTATGGTTTTTAGGGTTGGTGTCCATGCGAATCAACGCGATTTTGCAGCGTCGCTGTTATTGCCATCTTTCTTTTTGTGTTGTGTTTTGTCGTCTTTATCGTCGTTTTTACCCAAAAATGTCCCTTTAAAAAACAAAACAAAAACAAAACCTGCACTCTATTACTTTAGTCCAAGTAACTAGGACCCTACTTATAGCCTTTTTAACATTGGGTCGAGACATTGTTTGGTGATAGGGTCCCAGCCGCATGGCCGCCATCACGTGATACAATCGAAAGACCCAACAAAAATATCAGATTTCACCCTTAAAACGGCCACGGGTGAAATTTTACCATGATTGTCTAGTTCCGCGCTAACATTGTCATGTGACTTCATGTAAAGAGATGGGAATCAGACCATTACAATTTCGGACTTAATTTCCCTTTAAAAAAAATCCTCCACAGCCACGAATTGTGAAAAAAAGATGAAATACTCTGCATTTAATGAAGGATTTAATTAACAATTCTCATTTTTTAGGACGCAAAAATAAAGTTTAAAAAAACATCAGTCACGCTGGGATTCCAACTTGAGCGACGTTGCTTGTGAGGCGTTCGCTTGACGAGAAATGGTAATTTAATGTCCAATATTTGGTGTAGGCCTACTCGTATACGTGCATGAGGGCGCTTTACGATGTGCGCGTGCGGGCTTACTAACGGAATAAAATGCGGGACCAGTTTTACGGCTAAATAAACACTTTTATTTTGAAACAGTTTCTTTCTTTTTTTACTTTTGTAAGGGCATGAAATTGGGAAGCCTGACATGCCTGAAGCCTCTGAAGAGTCTGATTATTTAAGGATTAATTATTAATTAACACTGATTAAACAGATATATTTTGCGTCCTGAAAAGGTGTTTAGTTTCAAGACAGACGTACCGGTTAACAAAATATTGGCACTGTTTCTCTCCTCAGCATTGCCTGTCGCCATATCTCCTCTTTTTCTGTGGAAAGATGTTCATAGAAACTGCACTAACTCTGCACATATGAAGAGCGCTTGAGGAGCGAGCGGAAGGCAAAGAGGTTAATCAAATATATTTTCCTATTTTTCGGTAATTATTATTTTTAGTAAATGCCGTATATGTAGTTTTATTCAAATTTGTAAATTGTAAAACAAACCTATTTTTAAAATATTACAAAAATATAATTTGCTTCGTCATAATGTGTTTTTTTTTACCCAAAGTATGATGACATACGAAAATGAGATGTTAATGGGTAGAAAGAGCCTGTCATGGCTGCGTCCATCATTTCCTCTGAACATATTCTGAGCGCGATCACGTCCTGTAAGGCTGTATGCCTTTAAACCTCTTGTTTTGTAACGAATTCTCCACATAAACTACACCTGAATCATGGGTGGTAATACATCTTTGTTAAACACGACGTTAATTCTCATTGCGGGAACTGGAAGTGCGGTAAGCTTTACTATTTTCAAAGTAGGCCTAGAGCCTAGCCCAGGTTGGACGAAGTCTTCATTGCAATACGACTAACGTCCAGGACAAGACTTTTCTACATGAAACCATCCCAACATTTTTACCAGAGTTTTGTTATGTTTTACCTCGTTATAGAAGCTTATTTCACGCCTACATACTCTATGTATCCTTATCTATTGGCCACTGGGTTCAGGAATTCCATATGCGATACTGACTGACGTTAATCAGGAAAATAAACTCCAAAGCAACGTTAAACTTGTACGTGTTTGTAGTCTCTTTTCATCAGTTTATTCCAGAGTCCGTACGTCATGTACAATGTACATGCGTACGCAATTCCAAGCGCGTACGCACGCTAGCGCCCTCATTTGTTTAGTTTTGGTTGGAACCGTTACGTCACTCCAGTCAACTGATGTCGCGAAAAACGCTCAACCAATGACCAAAGCCGAAACGTGTTTCTGGTAACTGGCGCGAAAACACGCTCGGTCATTGGATTAGCGACCGCGGCTTCAAGTAAGTGCGCGTGCGTATGAGGGTGGTTACTAAGCAAATCGCGCGTGCGCACTGCATATTCATGCTGCATAGTCTGGCCCCCGGACCAGACGTGATATGAGCGTCGAGAATAATTGCCCGGTCTAGGGAACCAGACTACACGCTGCACAGACGTACATGTACATCATGTACGAGAATAGACTCGGCGGTGAGAAACTGATGAAAAGAGTCTAGTTAAACGTCGCTTTCGAGTTTATTTTCCTGATTGACGTCAGTCAGCATCGCATATGGATTCCTGAACCTAGCGTACTAACAGATAAGGACACATAGAATATACGACGTAAAAATTAGCTTCTCCAACAAGGTAAAAATATTGAAATTATTGGTAAGAAATGTTTTCGTTCGGTTGTGAGCACATGTGTACTCAGGACTCCCTCCGTAACGTAGGGAGGAAAGGGAGTCCACCAGGGCTAGCCTAGAGCCCTACATGCCCTAGTCGTACTCGCCATACGTATTGCGTGGAAGCCACGCCCCTTTAAAAGTGATTGCTACTTAATTTCGTACGTCTTTTGATTGTATCTGCCATGTTTGTTTCCTCTTGTTTGTCTGATTGGAAAGAATGTTGCAACCTGACGCAACTTCAGCGGTTGTGTACAAAGTCTATGGGTAGGTAGAATCATCGAATTCAAACTCAAAGTTAATTCGATAGTGTAGAAATAGAATTTACATTAATAGGCCTAAGTTAATCTCAAAGAACTTTCAAAATATGCAATTAAACAAGTGATCTACTACTATACTTCCTAGCTTCATAGGGCAAGCAGTTTTAAAATTATTGCAATTTTAAATTATTTTGATATTGGATATATTGCCAGCGGCAATCCCTACAACAGAGGGCGCTGTACTCTCTAAGATAGGGCTGAATTCTAAGATATATTAAATTACCACCAACAGTTGTGTAGCACCTGTGGCAGTAGTGGATTAGCAACGGATCTCATGAGCAGGAAGATCTGGGATGGATCCCTGCTGGCGAAATTTTTAAGGTCTTTTTTCCCCATCCCCAAAAATAAGAATATTCTTCTTTTATTATTTTAACATGTCTGAAACATTTTATTGCAGAGTATTACATTTTCTTTTTCAGATTTGTGGCTCTGGAGGATTTATTTTTAAAGGGAAATAAAGTACGAAATTGTAAAATGGTCTGATTCCCATCTTGTGAATACGAAGTTACAGCGATAATGTTGGCATGGAGCCAGACTAAACTAAGCCAGACTAAATATCCACTGCCTAATTTTTTTTTGGCCTTAGAGGGAAAATACAACATTTGCAAACATCAAAAAACAAAATGATCAAATTATCACGAAATACCTTACTGGATTGTGAGGAATGACAGTCTAAAGCATCCTTTAAAATCGTGGCTCCTGGTGTGCTGACATTTTCAAGAAAAATTGCATTTTTCCAACGCTGGTCAGCTGACCAGCGTTGGAAAAACTGGCTTTTTTTTCAAAAACTGTTCTTAATTTTTCATATTTAGTTTTATGACAGATGATACAAAGAGTATGGCTGGATTGCTAAGGAATTTCTGTACTGAACAGTCATAATTTGAGCAAGATGTGCCTAGTAGTTTTTGAGTTAGACAAAAAGTATTAAGGGGGGGGGGACTTTCTTTTTTGGTTGAGTGTATAAGTTGATTTTGTTTCCTTTTAAGTTAATTACATTGATGTGGGCGTAACATGCTTTATCTTTTTTTAAATTTATTTATCAGTTACTTTTGGTTGTGATTATATTCGCCAAGCGACAAATTATGCGGTTTTCGCTGACTTCCCACCGAAGTCCCCATGTCCCCATTGGTCACAGCGCCCCCAGGAGTCTGCAGACAGAAATCGAGCAGAAGCTGACCCACGTATCGAGGATGAAGTATGAGCCAAGATTACTGGGAGATGATGACCACAGGCTGAAATTTCTCAACGGGGAAAATAGTTCTGGAGGTAAATAAAAAGCTAGAGGACAATGTTGCCAAAATTAAATGTTTCATGCAAAATTGTGAAATATTTAATTTAAACTTGATAGTGTTTAAAGGGAGGAAACAACATTTGCAATACATAAAAAAATGAAATGATCAAATTATCACGAAATACCTTACTGGATTGTTAGGGAATGACAGTCTAAAGCATCCTGTAAAATCGTGACCCCTGATCAAATTATCACGAAATACCTTACTGGATTGTTAGGGAATGACAGTCTAAAGCATCCTGTAAAATCGTGACCCCTGGTGTGCTGACATTTTCAAGAAACTTGTATTTTTCCAACGATGGTCAGCCGACCAGCGTTGGAGGAAACTGGCTTTTTTTTCTCAAAAACTGCTCCTAGTTTTTCATATTTAGTTATTCCGCATTTTCTTTGCAATTGATTACACACCTGTATTAAAAGGGGTACAAGCCTAATAGACTAATTCTCTGACCTTACAATTCCCCAAGTCTATAAATTGCTCCAATTCGTCTTAAGTTGGGTCAGGGAACCAGACTACAAGAACATGATTGGTTTTCTTGGTTTTTCCAGCATCTACAAGCCCAAAACGTGAAACAAGTCAGTTTAACAATTTTTGCTATAACATGCTAATCCTCCAAATCCACTTATTTCTGAAAATTGCAGCAAAAGCAATTTATGATTTTATTCCCTTTAATGATATGTCTTAACTTTTTTGTAATATTTCTTTCTTTTTTTCAACAGAGAAGTGTTCCTACATCTACAGGATGAAAGCAGTTGATGCTCTGTCAAAATTAGGTGAGATTCATAAAAAAAACATTGTAACACTTAAAGTTCAGCATGTATGCCGCATGGTCCATATTTATTGCAAAAGGGAACAGAGTACTCCATGTGTTTAATTGTTCCTCAAAAACAGTGTGTATTTAAGACATAACCCCAGATCTTTAGAATATTTTGCAAGAGTTAGAAGAGATACAACTCAGCCACTATTAAATACATGGTGCTTTATGCCTCTTGAAAGTACAAGGGAATTATGCCATTGGTTCTCCACAGTGGTGGGTTTTTGAAGGAATTATGGAATAATGCAGAGAGAATTTGGCTCAAAACCACACAAATGTTTCTTTCTTTTTTTAAAGGGAATGTACAACATTGGCTTTTGCTGCAATTTTTAGAAAGAAATGGATTTGGAGGATTAGTATGTTATAGCAAATATTGTTAAAATGACTTGTTTCACGTTTTGGGCTTGTAGATGCTGGAAAAACCAAGAAAACCATTCATGTTCTTGGAGTCTGGTTCCCTGACCCCACTTAAGATGAAACGGAGAATTAGTTGATTCCGGGAATTGTAAGGTCAGAGAGTCTGTCTAGTTGGCTTGAATCCCTTCACAGTTGTGTAATCAGTTGCAAAGAAAACACGGAATAACTAATTATGAAAAATTAGGAGCAGTTTTGAAAAAAAAAGCCAGTTTTCTCCAACGCTGGTCAGCCGACCAGCGTTGGAAAAATACCATTTTTCTTGAAAATGTCAGCACACCAGAAGCCATGATTTTACAGGATGCTTTAGACTGTCATTCCCCGACAATCCAGTATGGTATTTTGTGATAATTTGATCATTTCTTTTTGTAATGTTTGCAAATGTTGTATCTTCCCTTTAAAAGGCCATACCACAAATCTTTACCATTGCTTTGTGTCTTTTGTGTGGTCAAGGATGTGTAAGCTTGTCTATTAGACACCGACAGGTTTTGTATTCTAGCTTGAATAGGAAGCTGTATTGCAAGTGAATATTTGGACGTCTGAGACACATTGGGTTTTGCATGAAAGTTGCCAAAGTTTCAAATCTTGGCTGAAAGAGGATTTCCCTTTCACATATTTAGTGCTACTTTGCACCTGATTATCTACTGCATCTGAATATTATTTGAACAACAGCACCAGGGAGAGAAAATATCAGAGATGAAACTTTTCAGATTTTAATTTGAAATCAGTTTTTTTTTAATTTTCCAATGAAATTAAAAATTTATTAGCGATCCACAAAAATGATTATTTAACGATTTTTCCACAAAATGTTTTTTTTTTTTCATTATAATTTCCACAAAAAAACACATAAAAAGTTGATGAAAACGACACATAAAAATTTGCACAAGTGTAAAACACCTAGACCAATGCTGATCAGATCCATTTCCGGCTGGAGAAAAGGTTAAATACTGACCTATGACATGGAAAAATTCAGTGGGTCCCACGTTGATGCGCTGCACTGCACTGCACGATGCTGTGCCAGCTCCGATCCAAGGTCCAATTTCAGACTTTTTTTGCCAAGGCCAGTTTTATCTCTGAAATATACTCTTTCATAACTGTATAATCTCACTCCAAATTTACCCACAGATGAACAACTGAAGAAAATTGAATGTCGCAGGGTACGCCCTCAGTGTGGGAACTTGAAGGAGTATATTTTGAGTCTGCGAGATCCCCCGCAGGCCCCCCTCAAGGGAGCTTCCGTTAACCTGTGCCGTGCATTCGCAGCAGCTTACGAGAGTGCCCATTACGGACTCAAGGTAAAGTCTGGCAGTCCTCCCGCATCCTTCAAAATCCTGTAGGAAGTTTTGAAAGATTTTGAAGGATTGAAGAAGATGCAGCATGTTCATGTTCAAACTTTCCTTCATGTTTTCTTCTGTTTTGATATTAAGCTTCTCTGGGTATTTAAGAAAGATTGTGTTAAAATAATGAGACAAAATTAAGAAACGATTTCTCTTTCTCAAAGGGCTCATGCTATGTAATTTTTTTAATGCGATCCTTGAAAACGCACCTTTTGCAAAAGTGCAAAATTGTAATGTCATTTCAGGCAGAAACCTCAATGTTACAACTAGTTTCAGCACTACGTCGTGCCAGAATTTTGGATATTTCGCCGTCATAAATCTCCTTTTCTTTAGTGATTTGTTGTTGTGTCAGTACATGGCAGTAAGCCAATGAGCAAACTTTTCTCACAAATGTGTTCAACGAACCTAAAATATAACAGTGTCTTCCTGAAATGACATCATGGTAACAGCGCCCTCAGTTGTCCGGAAAAGCATGGACAATTTTGAATGTTCAAAGAAGTGAACTTTTCAATAAAATTAAACAAAAAGGGATGTCAGATAGGTCTCACATATTTAAGAGGTTTGGAAAGTTGCATAAAATATCTTCCTACGAAATATTCACTTCATAGGCCCTTTAATTAAAATAAGGAATAAAGATAGCATACAGTGTCATGATGTGCAAATTTGATACAGTAACATTAACTTAAACTTTCTGAAACACTGCAAACCTGTCTTTTTAATATCAAACATGGTAGCACATTTTTACTTTTCCCAATCCAAAATAAAAGTAAAATTATTGACAAGAAAAAGTTGTCAGCTATTGGTTTTCTTTTTCTTTGCTTTGATAAGATTAACTTCTTCAATATTTGAATGGTTGGTATCTGCTTCTTCCCCTTACCTTTCACAGCCTTTTGGTGAGACAGAGTACAACAATTTCATGACGTTATTGCACGAGCTGTTATCTTGGTGAGTGTGTAGAATTTTCTTGCATTCCTCCTCATCCCATTTACTTTTCTTTTAGGAGGTCCCTTTCTAGTTCTATGGTTCACATTTTTTTTTTGCTCTGAAGAAAAAAAAATTACAGTTGGATCCCTATAGATGGCTAAATTGAAAGTGCGTATTGTCTCTTGTTTTCTTTATTGCAATGAGTTTATCGGAGTTCATATCACTGACAAAAAAACATAATTCAAACATAAGCGTCAATCGCTTCTCAAAAGTTCGGGGGGGGGGGGGGGAAGACAGACATACCTTGATCAGAACTAATGTGAGCATGAAGCCCCAAGGTGTGGGGTTCAGGGCCCACTGAAATTTTGGATTCTAGACACTCTGTGGTGCGATCTGAGGCAATTTCTGACCACTTTAACCACTTTGTTTTGAGCATAAAATTACCATTTAAATATCATTTTCGAGTTTTGAGTCATTGAATCAGCTATTCTGAGTCATAGAATCAAATGTAGGCTACACTTTATTCGGGGACAAAACAAAGTGGAGAGGACAAATTATATGATGTCCCCCACTTTAAAAAGTGTGGGGGGGGGGGGGGGGAAGAGACATACATGTCCCGTCCCCCCCCCCCCCCCCCCCCCCCACCTATCAATGCTCACACTTTGGTAAGATGCTGTTGACTTCATTATATCTGCACCTTAAATTCTGGTTCACGCATAGCTTAAGCGTGTGAAGACATCAGCGCACGAACCAGTGCGTGAACCAGAACAAAGACAGGTGAGGTCAGCCTTCGGTACTCTATATTTGTAGTACTGAACTGCAAACATTTTAGCACTTTGCAAATTTGTTTTTTTTGTTTTTCAGCATTCGACACAAAGGTATGAAGAGTAAGAAATCCAGCCAATCCTCTAGCTCCCAGCATAAACAGCATACCTCAGCCAGCCAGCGCTCTAGATCCGCGGGCAGTCAGAAGGCAAGGAGCCCAACCAAACCAATCAGCAAAGGCGAGCCCAGACTGATCGACCAATCAGCAGCCAGTACCAGCCAGACAGAGTGGCACGCCGAAAACATTCCCCAGAGAGGGATCACAGTGGGTCATGTGACCAAGAGGAACCAATCAAGAGCAGTCACAAGATCGGAGGAGACCGTGGAATTGCTGGAGAGGAAGAGAACGTCGCGAGGCTCGGACGTGGGCAGCGACACCGAGAGGGGTTCGCGGATAACCAGAACCTCAAATTCGTCGTCAAGTCGGAGCGACGAGATGCAGCCGCTCATGGCCAGCAGACTCGTGCGACAGGAGTCGGTGTCGGAAGACGTACTGTGATAACTTTCAAACATTTGCCCCTGGTCATCCAATCTTTGAGATAACAAGCCTCAATCAATAGCCAAGGCTCAACAAGGCAAATCCAGGGGTGTTATTGGGGCAAGGGGGTGGGCGACGGTTGTCACCCCCCCCCCCCCCATTTATTATTTTTCTTGTCAAGACAATCAGATGGTGTCTAGCCCCCAGCCGCCCCCCCCCCTAATTGGATGAGGTTATATTTGAGACCAGTTTTAAAGTTAGCTTTGTGTGGATTTTACATCCCATTTATTACCAAAAAAAAATTCCAACTACTCCAGTATTCTACCTTTTTTATACACGGCCTTTTTTTAACAATGAATTTTATTTTATTTTGAATAAGTATCAGTACTTTAAATACAACCTGTACACAAGATAAATATTAATATATTACATTAGGACATTTTAGATGGCAGATAATGACGTTTGCCTACATGTGTGTCATTGTGACAAATAGTCCTCGGTTTTGTGATAACTGGACTATAATTTTGAAGTGTGGTGTCAAACGGAATGTACATTTTACCTCAGGAAGAAAGAAAGAATTTGATAGTTTGTTTTTCAAAACCCATCATGACTGACTGTTACCATTGTTGGTGCATACCTGATGTGGATACCCCACAGAATCAGTATACAAATAATGAATGTTTGTGAATGCAATGCTAAGAATAATTTCATGAGGTGACAGATGGAAGGTCACCGAATGAAATTATTCTTTCCATTGCACAAATGTTAAACATTCATTATTTGTTTTATATAATATCTGAATAAATCCTCGTCATCTGATTGGTCAGAGTCACCAATCATGTGACCATGCAATGGAAGTTCTACTTACCGTGGAATAGAACTTCTATTTTCGGGGTGCGGCGGTCCATGGTTTGGGATGAATAATTCAGCGACATGTGATCAACGACCAACCAATCAGATGATGTGGATTTATTCAGGCGGCGTATAATATTTCTTAAATACTTTTGGGTAAGATTTGTAAATAAAAATTGACGTCCCGTAAGTGCAACGATAGTACAGTCATTACGAACTGACTGTGATACAATTACCAGGTCCACATTCCACTAAGCTGCTAAGCGGAAAAGCGCAGAGCCAGTCACAAGTATTATACATCCAGTGTTGTTTTGGCTGGTAACCTGTTTTTGCTAAGCAGTATTTTTTATGCTTAGCAAATTTACTTGTGGTTGGCAGCTCTTGTGACATTTGCTCTGGAACAATTGCATAGAATAAGTTGTTTTGTACATACATGTATTAGGCCAAATAAAAAAAAAACATGTTTAGCGTCTTGACTTTTTGAGAAAAAAAAGGAAGGAGGCCCTGTTTTTTTTTTTTCCAAAATGGCTGCCCGACCCGGCTATTTTTTAAAGATGGCTTCCAGTTTTTTTTTGAATGGCCGCCACTTGGTGAAAAAAAAGGAAAAAAAAGAGGGGGCCTACAACGACATTGTGACTAGCATTTCTGTTTAAGCTATTGCAAATTGTGACTAGCATAGGTAAAGAAACATGCCTTGAATAAACCTTAGCATTTCCAAGTAATTCAGCTTTTTTTACAAATCAGTTCAAGTACTACCATTGGAATCTTCATTTTGAGTTGTACGATTTAATTTATTCCACAGATGTGACTATCTCTACCATACAGTGTTGTCGTACTCAGTAGTCAAGTACTTTTTGAGAATACTCGTACTCGTACTCGAATATCAAAATACTCGTACTCGAATATAAACAAACTCGGACTTGAATTTGCGGTACTCGTACTCGAGAAGCCAAGTACTTGTACTTGATTATTAGGACTCGGGAAGAAAAATTGAGTACTTTAGTTTTGAAATCAAAAACATTCTGATTATATTTATGCAGTGTGGCAAAATTGCCTTTCAAGAAGTCTTCTTTAAAAGAAGTCCATAACATTCATGTTGCTAAATTAGTGGTTTCAGTTTCCACTCGTTACTTGAGATTATAATTGTTTTCACCTGAGTACTCCATGAAGTACTCGTACCCAGATGTCCAAGTACTGGGACTAGGCTTCACAGAACTTGTACTCGAAGGTCAAAGTACTGGGACTCGGGTACCTGTACTCGTTCTCAAAGGTCAAAGTACTCGGATGCAAGTGGTACTCAATAGCTTGGTACTCGGCAGTGCTTTGTACTCGGATATTGTTCTTTCACAGGATGCTATTGTGGCACATCCTGACTGACTGGAGTACCGAGTCAATGAACAGGGGTTTACTTTTAAAGAACAGCACCTTGAGGAAGTTTATTTTTGTAGTCAATGACTTATTTACAAACCCTTTACATGTCAAGATAATTGATTTAATGACCAGGGCTTCTGTATGAACACTTTCAAATCAAAACAAGGGCAAAAAAAAAGGACACGTTTCTTTGCGTTGCCTTTTTACTTACCCCTATTTCTAATAAGTAATTTTATTCCACTACAGTAAAGACCACTAATATTTTCAGGTGATTTTAACCCAACAACGAACTGCCAAGAAATTACATTTCTTTCATCTTATCCATTCTAATGTACATACATGTAAAGTGCCGTTTTAATGTACTCGCATTTTTGTAATAAAATGTAAACTTCCTTATGTGATGTGTACTACCCAATTTGGGTAGGTGCTTGAGGTATTTTCACTTGTCTATCTTTTTGATGCTAAAGTTTGGCATGGAACGATGGATCTATGGGAGAAGAAACAATGACAGTGAGAGTTGGTTATCCATTAGGGACATGCTGCTTTTGTTGTGGTATTTCACGTGAATCATCACTTTCGTCGTCATCATCATCATCAACCTCATCATCATCAGTATCCTCATCTTCGCTGTTGTCATTGCTACGATCCCTGTCCCTGTACCTAAAATAACACACACAAAAACCGGCAAGTTAAACTTGCACGATCCCCCTGGCATGCTGGTAGTATTTATACAGTCAGTTAGTAAGCACACTTTGCAGTGTACCTAACCAAAATCAACAATGACCTCATTTGACCCCTAGATGACCTTTGACCTCAAATGTCTCAAGTCATGTGAAGTCCCCCTACCCAAAGATGATTGTCACCAAGTTTGATTGAGATTGAAGTATGACTTTTCATATGACAGCAGTTTTCAGTTTACCTAACCAAAAACAACAATGACCTCATTTGACCCCTCGATGACCTTTGACCTCAAATGTCTCGAGTCATCTGAAGTCCCCCTACCCAAAGATGATTGTTACCAAGTTTGGTTGAGATTAAAGTCTGACTTTTCATATGACAGCACTAAACAGTTAACCTATCCAAAATGGAACACACAGCCACACAGAAGGAATACACTAGGGAGGTTTCGCAAGCGAACGGATACGCTTACACTTACGTTTAGCTATCCGTATCCGTTTTTTACTTACGTGTAGCGAGCGAGATATGCGTGTCGTCTGCACGTTTAGCGGATAGTGAGTGGCGTATGACGTCATACGTGCAGACGACACGCATACCACGCTCGCTACACGTAAGTAAAAAACGGATACGGATAGCTAAACGTAAGTGTAAGTGTATCCGTTCGCTTGCGAAACCTCCCTACTATCGCAAGATCCCCCTTTCTTGGCTTAATTGAAAGGGGGATACAAAGCCAAATAAGTACCTTTTTCCCTGCTGCATCAAAATCAAAGTTGCTCTTTCTGTGCTCTGCAGTAAATTAAATTTTTCCCCATTCAAGATTTTCAATCTGTGTGCAACCCTTTTATTTTTGAGTTTCTTTTGCCCCACAAAAAAAATCCACCTGAATTATTGTTGGGCTGCCTATAATTTGAAATTTGTGAAGTGAGTTAATGTGGGTGGATTTTTATTCATTTGATTTCTCATTTAAAAGTGAATGACTTTTGAGAAAGAAATTAATGTTGCACCCTGACACCACTGTTTTCATATATTATCTCAATGAAGGTCACGGTCATTGCAAAAAGTTTGAAAAGACATGATTCTGGGACTGAGAAACATTTCCAATTTGGTTTGAAAATACTTTGAAAATGCACTCAACTCTGCATAAACTTTGTACACAACCAAAGTGGCATGGATACTGCATTCTTTCCAAATTTTATATTGCTAGCAAAATAACTGTTTTAGGGGGTGAAACTTGAAGTAGCTTTGCTACTCCAAAACTTTTCATTAATCACAAAGCTTGTTTCAGAGAATGGTAGACAAATCCTGCCTCCAGCAGTGTAAGACCCCCAAAAACCAAAAGGATTTCTGGTTAGAAGTAGTCCTTGTGGGTAGTACTTTGAGGGACAATGTTTTGTGATACAACTGGATGTAGCAGATTTGGTTTTAAACTTTTAATCAAAATATCCTCATAATGTTAGCATACCTGCCCGGAGAGTCCGGCTTGTATGTGCCCATCTGTATGTGCAGCCTCTCTGACAATCTCTCGGCAGCCTGCGCAGCTTGTAAAGCCTAATTTACAAAATATCAGAATGATCAAAACAAATGAGGGCTGGCATTAAACAGATTTGGGATTTCATTTGTTGCTGTGTGCAGTGCTTTCGTCGAGTCCATATCGCAAGTCTGGTCCAAAGTAAGTCCCAAGTCCATCCACAAGACCAGTCACAAGGAAGAGGTGATGAACGATGACAAAAGGAAGCTTTAGTCACAGTTCATTTGAAAATCTTGTCACTTGACATAAGACTTGACTTGTGAAAGACTTGTATCCCAGTCATTCACAAGTCAGATCACATCAAACAATGACAAAGGAGTGTCTTTGTCACAGGCTCATCTGAATAGCTTGCAACTTGACGAGAGACTGGAAGGCCTACGATGGACTTGGGATGACTTCTGGAGACTTGTGACTGACTTAATTACAACTCTGACTTGTGATGGTCTGTGAGTTACTAAAAGCTACAAACTCTTTCCTGGTGAAGTCCTCAAAATGGGAGAAATTTCAGACTGGAATTCAGTAATTGGGGAAATTTTCACCAAGACAACGTAAGGTACCAAGGTTCACCGTTTTATACCTGCACTTTGCTCCTCTGTTTCTCCAACAGCTCAGCTGCTTCTTTGACATCCATGTACTGCGTCCCGGGATGTTTGAGTGGTGGGATGGCAACAGCCGACATTTCCGGAGGCCTGTCCTGCACCCCACGCATCGGCGTGCTTCCACTGGAGGGTGGGGTGGGCGGCGGACGCCCTAGACCCTCGGGTATTCTGTCTGTGTGGAGCGTCTTGAAAGGCTGAAACGGCGCCCTTTCTGTCTTCAGGAATGCATTTTGGGGAGTTTCAGGCACGCCCTGTGGGGCACCGATGTCCATTTTCTCCAGGAGATCCGCGGCGTCATTCACCATGGCCTCATGTTTTGCGATGAGCTCTCGGAGCCTGTCTGCCAGGAGTTGGACCTTTTGACCTTTATCGGGTAGCATGCTTAGCCTGTTCCTGATTGGTCAATAAGACAGAGAATTTACTAAACAAGATTAGTAACGTGATACCTCACACAAACTGTTCCCTGACACTGTCGAGAATGATTTGGTTAAAGCTTGCCAATAAGCCTGAGACGTAATGACGTCACACTTTGTTTACATGTGCGCTTCCCTATGTTGTAGACGGTCCCCACTTTATCTGGCGTCCCGACTTCGCTCCCATAGGAAAGCGCATATGTAAACAAAGCCATTACGTCATTATGTCTCGGGTCTATTACTGGCTCAGAGTACTTTGAATAACACTCCGACACAAGGACAATAGAAAGAGTGTAACTTCCCTTTGCCAAAAAAAAGAAAGAAGAGTAACATGCGAATAAAGACACTCCAATAATTAATTTAAGGCAGTGGATATTTGGCCAGCATTGGTTTTTTTTAACGTTATTTTCATGGATGCTTTCTCTGATTGGCTCGTATATAAATAATTACGTCATATTGGCTGTGCCAGCTTTCTCTAAGTAAACACCAGTTTGCCGGAGGACAACCTCGGGCAAACTAACGTTTACTGCAAGAAAAACCGGCACCGGCTAAATATCCACTTCCGAGTGATGATTGATTTGGTGTTTGTGCTCACTTATTGGCCAGCAGTTTCTCTTGTCTTGCCAGCAGATCCATCAGCTCTGCTTTGGTCTTAGTTTCAAGGTTTCCCATATCCCCCTGGCGATCCCCCTGGCGATCCCCCTGGCGATCCATGGCTCAGTCAGACTCAAAGCCACTCTAAAGATTGAAGCACTAAAAACAAACAAGGGCCGGGTTAATGTTTTAATTACATCTTTGAAAAGAATTACCAGTGAGGGTTTAAATGGCAGGTGCAAAATTGGCAAGTTATTTGAACCATGGATTTTCATACTCCTAGAACTAGTATGAGGCTCCACGACTATGTGGAGCCTCATAGTTCTAGGAGTAGGATTTTCACACTGGTCTCTTTCTAGTTCTAAAATAGGTCAGTTATTAACTAGCACATTATTAATTATATTAAGATGATCAAAGTCAGAAAACTGAGCCCTTTTTTCCCACCACTGTCCACTAGAACAAGTAACAGTAGCTAGCACTTTCCCTGGCAAACTTAAAAATAAAACTGCACCCCAAATTGTACAGAAAAGATAAATTTGAACAGATTCAACCATGTCAATGTCAATAATGGTTTGACCATGTGATGAAAGGCCTAGACCTACATAAAAAATATAAAAAATCTGCCCATACACAAAATAAGGCCATGGCATATGCCATACCATGGCATATGCCATACCATGGCATAGGGTTGCTTAGCCCCACTAGTGTGGCCGTCGGTATGCTGCGCTGAACCCAAGCATACCGACGGCCACACTAGTGGGGCTAAGGGTCGCTTAGCCCCCCCCCCCCCCCCCCCACAAAAAGTTGTCATGACATAACCTGATAACTACTTTAGGTAATCCTTACTTTTAGGACACCCCTATTTTGTACGAGTTCTGTCAATGTCTGTTCAAAACTGACTTTTGCAGATGACTGTCCAGTACAAAAGTGACTTTTGCAGGCTAAAGAAGTCTTTTTTCTTCAGACAAACTCATGTTAGTTATAATTTTTAAAGCACTTTCAAAGAAAATGTGACTTTCCTACCTTTTTTGCAGTTCGCCATCTTGCTTTTTTAATATATTTTCTGTTTGTCATCGTCGTCTTTAACCCCTCATAAATCAAAGCCCTGCCCTCTTTCTACAAAATTAAACCTGCTGATATTCAAGAGTTGTCATTGCCAAATGTTCAAATGTGCCAAGAAATATCAGAATGTCACTTTTGAGGGTCATTTAGTCAGCTGTTTTGGTGAGTCTTTTAACCTTATATAGGAAAGGGGTCCTAAAGGTAAGGATTACCCTACTTTAAGTTGTAGTAGGCCAACCAATATAGATCTGAATACGATTGAAGCTATAAATTAATAAATCACCAGGACACTAGTTGATCAAAGCATGATAGAGCAAGGAACAGGGAAAAGTCAGGAGAAAATCTACAAACCACACATGCTGCAGAGCGCAGTCAAACCATGGACATGATGGAGGCTGCCATCTTTTCTGATTAAAAAAGCTCAAACTATGGAGGGCGCTAGACTCATTTCATAACAGCTCGGAAAAAAATGCAAGGCGGTGTGCGCGTGCCCGCTTGAATCGCAATTTTTAACTTGTGTGCATTGTTCACTGCAGCTAAGCGCAAAGCCTTAATAGGAGAAGAAAAATGGATTGGGTGCTTTTACTGTCCAGACTTTGTATCGGTGTTACGATTGCAAGCAATGGAGGAGGAATGTAAGTAATGACAATCAAGAGGAGGACACCGAGGAGAGACGCAACATGCACCATAACTAGCCCAGGTGTAGGGAGGAAAGGGAGTCCACCTGGGCTAGCACTAGGTGTATTGATAGTACATGCCTGGGAACGTGCAGGTGGGGGGGGGGGGGGGGGGGGTGCTTGCAATCGATAGACTTTATATAGTTATTTGGTATAGTGAAGAAAAAAAATGTAGTGTCCAGGCACCACTCCTATCCTTTGGTTGTGTACAAAGTCGATGGAGAGTCAAGTGCATTTTTTTGAATTTTCTAACAAAGTTTGAATTGTTTCTCATCTCAATCCCAGATTCACGTCTTCAACACTTTTGCAATGATTGACATTCATTGAGATAATGAAAAAAAGTGGCGTCAGGATGCAACATTCTTTCCATACTGAAGACTGAATTCGGAAAGAATGTTGAAACCTGACGCTACTTCAGCGGTTGTGTACAAAGTCTATGGAGAGTCAAGACAATTTTCTAAATATTTCCTAACAAAATTGGAAATGTTTCTCAGTCCCAGATTCATTTCTTATCATTTTTGCAACGACTGACCTTCATTTAGATGATATATGAAGAAAAAAGGTTGCAACATTCTTTCCCTGAATTCAACCTAAGTTTATATTAACAAGTTGTACTTTGTCAGAACATGGAGGTAGAATTAGTGTTTTCAATGATAATTGTTGGGTTCACCAATTGAACAGAAAACGCTTAAACTGAACAGTGTCTTCCTGGTTCTGGTTGGATACTACTCAACACCCCTAAAAGGAGCAAAACGAGTAGGGAATCCTAAATTGACATCACAGCAACAGCGGAAAAGCATGAACATTTTAAAAATTTGTTTAAAGAAGTGCACTTTTCAATACAATCAACCGAAAAAGAGTGTCAAATAATTTTTCATACATTTCAGAGGAGTAGAAAGTTGCATAAAATGTGTTCCTTCAAAAAATTCATCTTGTGGACCCTTAAGTCTGATGATCAGGTTTGTTTAATTCTCGTACGTGTTTTCTTTTTCCTTTTTCAACAGACCAGTTTTTGTTGATATCGTCCGTAAGGGAACTACTCATTCCGTGCCTTTCCTGCCGTTTTTGGCTGGCTTTGTCAGGTAAGATTCTTAGATCCCCAAATTGCCTCTGTTACTGACCCAGCACACTCACATGTTAAGCTGTCACGTGTACGTAGAATGCCCAACTTCACTGTACAAAATGTGTTTCAGCAGCCATGGTAAGTTTGATGTGTGGCTAGTCTGACAATTTGGGACTCTCAATATTGTGTAAGAAAGTCCCAAAAGTTAAAAAAATGTAACACAAGAAAAGGCCAAAAAAAAAAAGTCTCCGGTTTCTGGTATGCGCGCGCGTCGCCGTAGCCATGCGCGTCGGCAAAATGAAAAAGTTTTTTTTTCAATGAAAGATGATGTCTCAAAACCGCCAAACTCACTTGTTTGACTGGAATTCTGCTGCTGCGCAATTTCAACGTGTTTTTAGATGGGGTTATGATCGAGAATAAGCTTTATGTGGCCTTTCTGGACTCCCATATATTTGCACTAAGTTTAGTCGGGCACCATTTGCAGTCATCAGCCGACATTTGAAGCAAAAAAGTCGGGTAAAAAAAAAAAAAAAGCCGCGTCGCCGCACCACTTTTTGGACAAGCTCCATACCAGAAACCGGAGACTTTTTTTTTTGGGCCAAATAGACTGGCGAATGAAATAACCAGTCCAACATCACTTTGTACTACATCAATCAACTGTGTCAAAATGTGGTACCTAATCTCTATTTCTGCACATTCTCCATAGTCATGCCACCAGACTATTGGAAGGTCAATCTTTTCAAAAGTTGGACATGTACCAACCAGTCTTGTAATAGGCTTCAAATTGAAATCAACTTGGCTTCACTCTCAGGTGCAAAATGTTGAAGAAAAGTCTCCTATATGACAATGAAATTTGGACGCGAACTTTTTTGGACTTTGGGACATCATTTAACTATTAGAACGATGCCTGCTATAGATAGCAAATAATTTAATTTGAATTCAGTAGTTCTGGGCAGATACAACTTTGTACATTTTGTAGCTGTAATTTCCTATCAATTTTTTTTAAGTGACCATTTTACAAAAATGACCTCTTTATTTCATGTTTGCTTTGTCCATTCTTTTTTCAGTAACACAGCCTGCCTGGCCTATGCAATGTTGAGGGCTGACAGTGTTCTACAGATAGTCAGCAGTGTCGGAATGACAATGAGTACTATTTATGTCACTTTATTTCTCTTCTTCAGTAGCAAAAAGGTACCGTTTGTTCTTCACACTGTCAATTTCATCCTACCGTCAACTGAACATTGGTTGACATTTGAAAATTAGATATTCTTTTCTTTTAATAAGGCCAAAAAAAAGTCTTTGGTTTCTGGTATGGAGCTCTCCCCAAAAGTGGTGCGGCGACGTGGCTTTTTTTTTTTTTTCCTTCAAATGTCAGCTGATGACTGCAAATGGTGCCCGACTAAATTTAGTGCAAAATGATGTGGGAGCCCAGAGAGGCCACATAAAGCCTATAGTCAATCATAACCCCATCTAAAAACACATTAAAATTGTGCAGCAGCAGGATTCCAGTCAAACCAGTGAGTTTGGCGGTTTTGAGACATCATCTTGCATTGAAAAAAAACACTTTAATTTTGCCGATGCGGGCGCAGACCAGAAACCAGAGCCTTTTTTGGGGCCTAATCAGGAGTTTATGAATTGTGTGAAAGATGTGAGGTGTATCCATCCCCACCAGTGGCATTAAATATATACATTTATCCTCAAGCAATCTTGAATCCTCTGTCCTGATTGGTCGATCCATGGCAACAACAGTGTGATACTGTCAACAGTGTGCTATTATAAGATGCACTCATATTTCTGCCGCGTGCAATTCCAATGGGATGACTGCTTTGACCACAGCGTACTGTACTTTATGTGAATTTTGAACGGTGGTTGTGTTTAAAATTCCGAATTTGAACAGTACATAAGTGATTTTGCTTTTTTTTTACTCCCCCTGTACATCAAAGTTTTGCATAATCTGCATGTACATCCTTGTTAAAAAAAAAAACAGACTTTTTTTATAATTTACATCAATTGGCTCTGCATCAGAAATTTATGCAAATCCTTCTGGGATAGTTTAAATTAGTTTTGGTAAGTATGCTGATGATTAACTAGAATATTGTAACCACGTTATTGAGAGCTAAAGAATTATGTAGCTCACACCTGTTTTTATACTTTTATACTTTTCATCAAGGCTGAACATTTTTCCTCGCTATCCCCCCCCCCTTTTTATAAGAATGCCACCTTTCAGCAGCTTTTGAATGTTCTCTGATATTATCTATTTTTTAAAATACTGCTTACCAAGACAGATAATCTTTTCACTTATTTTTTATTCATTCAGTATGGTTTATAAAGACTCCAATACAGAATTTTGAAAAGTTATAATGATTTAGATTACAATGATATATTTTTGAAAATACATGTACTCCTTAAAAAAATCTACAAATATAGAACATACTATCAAAATACATTTATATTTTTCTCCCTTTTCATTAGAGTACTACCTTTCGGCAGCTTATGTTGTCTGGTGTCGGTATCCTCTCTGTATATGTCTACCTGACTCGCATCATTCGTGAGCCCTCGGCTGTCGAGATCCAGCTAGGCTTGCTGATAGGTTTCCTTATAACAGGCATGAACATGGCTCCAATCGCAGATATTGTAAGTAAAACCGGCCATATACGTTTGTACCTACTAGCTTAGCAACTGCCTGGGTTGTTTAACTTGTATATTGCAGTGCCGTGGTCCAACGGTTCCCCACACAAATGCAATGGTATGTGGGTTCGAATCCTTAAAGGAAGCATGGTACTTGTGTTCTTGGGCAAGACACTTTACTACAATTGCTTCTCTCAAACCAAGGGGAATAAATGGGTACCTGTAAGGGTAGATACCAGATTGCACTGATCTCGAGCTGCTGCTGTGGAGAGAAGACAATGAGAAAAGTAACATATTTAGAGGTGGGAGGAAAAGCCCAGAAGAATATTCTGGGGAAAACCCAGGGAATCAGGCAGGGACTGAAAACCCAATCCACATATTGACCCAGGCGGGATTCGAACCCGGGTCATAGTGGTGGAAGGCGAGGAAAGTACCCCTACGCCAACCTGACTCCCCTGTCTTTTGCACCTTTACAAACAGAAACAAAACAAACCAAAAACCTTTACAGACTTATTCAGTAACTATAACAGGTATCATTGAGCCGAACACAAGTCAGGTCTTGGTAAAAAAACAAGGCACTTCTTTTTCTGTGAGTGAAAAGAAAACACAATCTTGATGATCCTAGTATTAATCTTTTACCTTGACTACAGTTTTGTGTGACATGTTTTTATTTGTTTGTTGATTTATTTCTTTATTTGTTTTATTGTTTTTTGTTTTCCAGGGTAACATCCTCAAGAAGCAATCCAGTGATGGTCTGTCATTGTCCATGGCCCTTGCGATCTTTGTCACCTCGGTCCTCTGGGTGCTGTATGGAATCGCCGTCGACGACTTAGTGCTTTCAGTGAGTAAATTACATTAACATACGTTAGAAAATTCAATCCAAGGTTGTAGAATTGGGGGAGAAGGCTCACAAATACCAATATTTATCCTCATATTTATGGTTGAAAAATAACAAAGGAATGTCTTTGATACAGAGCATTTGAGTAGCTTGTGACTTGACTGAGATTGGATGACTTGTGTATTACTTGTGATGGACTTGTGATGGACTTGTGATGGACTTGTGACTGACTTTTGATAGACTTGTGATTGACTTGTGATGGACTAGTGATTGAATTGTGATTGACTTGTGATTGACTTTTGATGGACTAGTATTGACCTGTGATGGACTTGTGATAGACTTGTGATGGACTTGTGATGGACTTGTGATAGACTTGTGAGGGACTTGTGAGGGACTTGTGAGGGACTTCTGATTGACTTGTGATGGACTTGTGATGGACTTGTGATGGACTTGTGATGGACTAGTGATTGACTTGTGATGGACTTGTGACGGACTTGTGATGGACTTGTGATTGACCTGTGATGGACTAGTGATTGACCTGTGATGGACTTGTGATGGACTTGTGATTGACTTGTGACTGACTTGTGATAGACTTGTGATGGACTTGTGATTGACTTGTGATTGACTTGTGATTGAATTGTGATGGACTAGTGATTGATTTGTGATAGACTTGTGATGAAATTGTGGTTGACTTGTGATTGACTTGTGACGGACTTGTGATAGAGTTGTGATGGACTTGTGATAGACTTGTGATGGAGTTGTGATGGACTTGTGATTGACTTGTGATGGACTTTTAGGACTTGCGATGGACCTGGCTCCAACACTGACGAAAGCGTCCTGAATCGAAAATCCAACACTGTGCATTAACCCAATGGTGCATTTTGTTTGTGCTTGAACAAACTAGAACATCAAGCCCATTTACAGTAAATTTGATAACAATTCCACACTCCAAATTCTATCAAAATACTGCAGTTATATTTACCCGATATTGCATTGTTGCAAAACTGGGAGAGTTATGGTTAACGAAGGTCACTCTTTTTCCCTCCTCCTCTCCTTTGAAAACAAAAAAAAATTAATTTGTGAAGGTTTTCTTTCTATTTGTTACACTAATGTACATTAATGTTTTTGTGTCAAAATATGTTCCCCTTTCTTCTACCTGACTGTTTTGAGTGAATTCCCCTGTGAGGGAAAAATATGAAAATCACTTAAAACCCCTAAAACCAACTGACGAAAAGTGCAAATTGTTTTGTTTTGGTAAAGTCTGAGAAAGGCACAGTAACTTTACCCGACTGAAAAATAATAGAAGCATCAACTATCGTACTGGACTCAAATTACCACCTAAATTCATTCGCCTTCTGTGAAACTCAAATGACAATTATGAATGATGTCCCTAATTTTTGTTTTGTTGGGGGGGGGGATCTTTAGCCTTAATAGCAACTGATCCCCCATATGCCCAGTGTATCTATTTCCAGCTAGAGTGGAATTTCAGGCACATTTGTTCCAAGAGTTTGTAACATAATCCTCATAATATCGGCAGTGCATATTTTCTCATTAAAATACGGAAAGCTGTCCACCAGCTGTCATTCATCTGTTTTCACAAACAGCAGTGAGCAATTATATTTATTGGCATTAAAAATATGAGACAATTGGCATTGGAAAATATGGGGGAATTTTCAAACTCTTGCTATAACCATTTCACGGATTACTAAACAAAAAGTGTGTGTTTTGCTCTACAAAAGTTACAAATGCAGCGTACTTTGCTATACACTATTTATTTGTTACAAAAAAAATTACTTCTCCAACATTGTCCTTCTGATATATAAAATAAAGAACAAGGAATGCCTTCTGGTGTGATATTGCTAAAAATGAAGCTTTTCCTTGGAGAAACTTATGTTAGAATCAAACACCAGACTCTCAGGTTTTTGTTTATTAACAGAAAAGAAAGACACAATTTTGTTTGTTTATTTATTGCCGTTTTAGCTTGAAGTCTCATCAGTAATTTCACTGCTATTTTAAGGGCCCTGTACTCATAATGAAAAGAAAAAGAAATGTGGTTTAAAAACAGGGAACATAAGAGTACAATATATAATTTATGGTTGTACACTTGTGGTTTTTTTTTTCTCTTCTAGCTGCCCAGCATATCGGGTGTTCTGTCCGGCTCAGTCCAGTTCTATCTGTTGTGGAGTTACCCAGCAAAGGGCAAGGCCGTCAAGTCAGAGTAGACATGAAACTCCCTGGCAGTGTCAACTTGATTCAACCTCAGACCACTATGATTTTAGATGTTGAAATTGGAAGAGTTTATTTCCAGCATGGGATAGAGTGAAAGAAGTCAAACCTCTCAAGTTTGGGGTAAAGCCCGGTTCATACTCGGCGCGAAAGCGAACGCGAATTTGTGACGTCGTGTCAAGTATTCGCGCTGGGAATTCGTAAAAGTTGAGCACATTTTAACTCGGGCGAATTTCGCAGCGAACGTTTCATGACGTCAAATTCGCTTCGCATTGGCATTCGCGTTGAGTATGAACCGGGCTTTAAGCAGAGTTTTGAGTTATCCAATGGATCGTCGCGATTTTGTCGTCTATTCAACAACAACGGACGGGTATTAACAGGTTTTGAGTTATCAAGTTTTCACTGTAGTGAATTTCAGCAGAAGTGAAAAATTTGCACTTTCATGAAAACGTCGTACACAGTACAACAGCTGTTTCCAAATTAATTTGTTTGCTTTATTGTATTCGTAAATTGTCCTGAACTATATAATAGCCGTCGAAACTGACTCTCGGCGGCCAGGAGAGAGTGGGATTGTAAAAGGTAACAAAATAGCGTTTATCGTATTTCAGAAACAGACTCTTCATGTAATCTTGTACACATGATGATCAAAAGCAGATATGAAATGAGATTTTTCTCAAGCATGATTCTGTTTTACTGTTCGTGGAAAATTTTGCAAAATATCTCAAGTGTCCCCATTTTATTTTAAACAGTTGAGAGCTGGAGACATAAAACCGGCAGGAATTGGCAACATGTAAAGCCATCAAGCAGTATTCATGCCATTTATTTTTAACAAAAAATGGTACCATCAAAAGTCATTCTCGAAAATTGTGGAGATAATGTGCCTTTCTAGATCTGCAAATAGAGACCTTGATACTGTACTGCCTTATTTACTATCAGTATTATCAACCTATCTTGATACCGGTCACAATTAATTTGATAAATGTACAGTACTTTTGCCTTGTGGAATCACCATGCAAGTTGATCTTTGCTATGCAAATGTTAATCATGACATGATCTTTCAGATGATGGTTTTCAGTACTGTTTTGTTTTATAATGCCAATATTTCTTCATTTTTTACCATGGGAGTACTCAAGAGTTAAGCAAAAACGCTTTAATGTGAAGCAGAAAACTCGACCTATGAAAAGTGTGAAACTTTTTCGCAGGTTGGATTGTGCAGTATTATAAGGGCCGCTTAAACTGTGTGTGGTAATGGGTTCCCATGCAGATAAAACTATTAGAATATGTCGGTTCCAATGCCTGGTTTCAATGCGCACATACATGTACATGTACATACTGGAAGTCAGAGTGATCAACTGTGGACCAATACATCAGCATTCTGACAAATCAATACATGGATGCTTATTAAGTTATGAAGCTTGGGCCAATAATTTGCATAAATTTACATAATTCAGAAACGGTTTTCCATCCATGTATGAATGTTTACAGCTGTGTAAATCAAGTCGTTATCTGTGATTATTCACATACAGTTCAATAACATTGTACCTCCTTGACATGTTCAATTTATGGTTGCAAAACCAGTGAGTAGACTTACTGCGGGATCTTGAACTCCACCAATCATAAAATGTAAACCAAACAAGATAATTCGGTCTGTGGGATTAATTTGTGTCGATGGTGTAAACTTGTTCCTTTCATTGATGAAGATTGATTTTAGATCTGACTGCTTTATGAGAAAATGTGGAAGAATAATTTATTGTCAGGAAAGATAATATAGACATTTTGTTTTTTATTCATGGGGTTTGAATGGACATTTTATCGGTACTGTGATGAATTATATTTTTTAATAACTAACTTGAAAAAAAAAAATTGTACTTTTGTCATGTTTGTCAGGATTTTTAATAAACATATATATTTGTATTGATATGTGGATAAATTTGAAAATTGTAATTTTGACTGTATTGGACATTTGATTTCTTTGTTACTTTAATCATTTTATGTATTCTTATATGAGTCGATTGATTCATCATTTTATGTATTCTTATATTAGTCGATTATCCATGTACTCACTGAGATGATATCAACCAAACGTTGCATTTTTGTAAATTTTGTTACAGTCTATGGAATTTTTTTCTTTAATTTCAACAGGGTTTAAAGATTTTAATGTTCCTTTCTAAAAATTTTAGTATGAAACAATACATTTTAGTTATTTAGGATTTACAACAAAGTAATATTAATATTAAGGCCTGATTTTAATTTAAAAACTTCACCCCTCTTAAATGATATTGATGCATAATGCTGTGAAAATCTATAGCAGTAACTGTACTGAATTGAGTGTTTAAAAAAAATCAGAATTTGTGATACAATTCCTTGCACTTAAATTTCACGTAAATTTTACTATTATGCTCAAATTGTAAAATTGCACAGTGACTAGTTTACGCAATTATAAATGAAGAATATTTTAAAGGCTGTAAATAAATGTTATTAAGCAGGCCAAAAAAGTGTACCAGTATTTTGTAGTTGCAATGCATATGATGATATATGGAATTCAGAATGTAAATTTGCTATTTTTGAAAGTGATTATGAATGCCCCACATTACACACTATGATGCCTTAAGATTATGTTTTGCATTTTCGATTCCCTTTGAAAATGAGCATTTTCGATTCCCTTTGAAAATGAGCATTTTCCACCTATATGTACTTTATGCAATAAAACGTGTGATTCTAAATTAAGCTCAACCACTAGTTATAACCCATTGATTTTGATGATTTGCATTATTATTTTATTGTTTTTTGTCTAATTCAAGGTTCCTTTACGAGCACAAAGGAAACAAAGAGCGCTGCCTTGTGATGCTCAGGAGCGAGGTCGCAATGTTTTGTTTTCTCTGGCAATTAAAGATTACGACCTGTTGGACAATTTTCTGTTCACCAGAGGTGTGCCCGCCATTTAAAAAACAAAATTCCACCGTCCCAAAACCACCCCTTAAACGGTTGTCCATCCCTGGGCCCATGTGACAGGTCTTAATGTCCCCCCCCCCCCCCCCCCCCATGCGAAATAGACCCACAAGTGTATGGGGGGGTTATGATTAAAATTGCCCGAGTTGGAAGCTACAAGTCAAAAATACTTGATTGACATAAATATTTCTACAATCCATTCCAATTATAGGCCGCAAGGACCTCTTATTCAAAACTAACTTGGGGGCACAAAATATTGATGAGCTCACTGCTCACGCGTCGTAATTTACAGCGTTTTTGGTGGCGTACCCTGGACCCGGTTTTATTATATGTCTATGCCTGGACCGTAAACATTATCTGCCGCCCTCTGTTGACAAAATCATGTTCAACCACACGTCTGACTTCGGTAACAAGAATGGACGTTTTGTATTGGCAGATTTTCTGGGATACTCCCCCAAGTGACCAATCAGCATAATCTTAATATAGTTTTATGCAAAGAAATGCAGAAGGCAGATCCAAAATGGCAGCCCACATGAACAAGTGAAGTTGAGGAGGTCGACTCTACTTGCAAAACATATCCACTTTGCTTATGTTTCTTAACTAACAATAATCAGCAGTAGCCGACAATGGAGCAGGATGAATTGAAGGTGGCAGTGAAGCCAGAAGTTGAAAAGTTACAGCAAACAAAACGGATATATCGGTAAGTTGAAAAACTTACCTCGAGAAAATCCCGTTTTCCCATTCAAACGTGTACAGCATTGTACAGTCAGTGCGACAGTTCTGGATTATCAACAGTTCCGGATTACTTGATCAAAATGAATTCAAGTGTAAACCAACTTTTTTTCGATTTTTTTTCACCAATTTGAAGGTCTATAATTATGCTGTTGTAACTTGTTGGGCAAAAAAATGTTGCAACCTGACGCCACTTACTCCTAGAACTATGAGGCTCCACGTGGAGCCTCATAGTTCTAGGAGTAGACGCCACTTGTTTCTTCATAAAATTAAGATAGGCCTAGCATGCCTAGTGGATATTTTGCTGGCGGTAATCCTGGCAAGCTAACGTTTACTAAAGGTTTGCCGGCGGCAATCCCTATCAACAGAGTGCGCTGTACTCTCTAAGATAGGGCTGAATTTTAAGATATATTATTATTAAATTATCACCAACGATTGTGTAGCAACTGTGGTCTAATGGATAAGCAACGGATCTCATGAGCGGGAAGACCCGGGTTCGATACCGATCCATGCTGGCTTTTTTTTTCCCCATCCCCAAAAAATAAGAATATTCTTCTTTATTATTTTAACGTGTCTCAAACATTTTATTGCAGAGTACTATTACATTTTCTTTTTCAGTTTTGTGGCTCTGGAGGATTTTTTTTTTAAATTGAAATAAAGTCCGAAATTGTAAAATGGTCTGAATCCCATCTTGTTCCATCCCATCTGTTACAACAATAATGTTGGCATGGAGCCAGACTAAAATTTGTCACCGGAAAATGTCGAAGTAAAAAAAAACCCAGTAACTGCGCATGTTCAGTGCATATCTGGCAAGCTAACGTTTACTAAAGATTTGCCGTCTCCGGCTAAATCTCCACTGCCTAAAATTAACATGATAAAAGGTCATTCATTGCAAAAATGATGATAAGACATGAATCTGGGACCAGGAGTGGGACTGAGAAACATTTCCAATTTTGTTAGGAAATACTTAGACAATTTTCCTGACTCTCCATAGACTTTGTACACAATCGCGGAAGTGGCGTCAGGTTGCAACATTTTTTCCAAAAGAAATTTTGGAAATCGCTTAATCATTACATTTAAAGGCAGGTGATCGTGTATCTACCACTACGGGCCCGGTTCCCTATAACTTAAGTTATAGTACAAGGGAACAAAATCCACTTTTGACCTACCAAAACAAACTAGTTGGCGACATTAAGAACATGCAGGTATGTCATAGATAGAGTCTAGAGTGCAAGGTTTTGAATTTTGGAGGGAAATTTAGGCGTAAAAATGATGATGACAACGACAAAACGCAACAGGAAAAGGAAAGATTCCCGTATCTGGCCATCGCTAATTTTTCCCTTCAGTGACCTATCAGCCATCAGAAAGTGACGTCATAAAAAGTCAAATTTAGCAGGGAAAATATTGAAGTATTTACTGAGAAAACACTTACAAATTTTCAGACCAGTCTCATACGGATACGGTTTGTGCACAGGGTGAAAGTGATGGCCAGGTATAGCTTGAGTAACTCAGCTCCAATGCTCATACTCCGCACTGCATGGAGACATGTACACGCTACCGTATTAGATTCAGGTGCACACTGTGGTTTCAAATTTTGTCATGTAAAAAGACAGCTGCGACGTGATAGTACTATCTCAGGCATGAGAATCTTCCTGTTTAAACAGGAATTCCTGTTTTTTGTTGCCCAAATGTCTGTGTTTTTATTCATTTTGAGCCTGTTTTGGGGCTTTTTGGCCTGATTTCACATCTTTTCTCCTGTTTTTGCACAAGTTTCCTGGGTTATTTTTTCATTGAAATTCTTTCTCATGCCTGTCTATCTGAAAAGCCACCGAAATCATCAATTTGTTTCATATTTTAGTCATTGTTGCATGTGTGTCACTCAGTGGTGCTGTTCCAGCCGTGCGCAAAGATCGTACACCGCTGTGTGTTTTCTGACAACGGCTGTTTTTACTGATGCACATGTAATTCGTATCGTCTTCCTAGCAGACCGCTAACAGTACAAAAAACACTGATCAATATTACTTCGCCACTTTTTCTTTTCAGAGGTGCTCAGGATATCATCAGTAAGCTAGACGGTGTTTTAAGGCACAAGCAGCCGTATCGCAGTGTCTTTGAGTGGGATGCCGTCGAGCTGCGGATGAAGTAAGTATAAACATCATCGACTTCAGAATCAATAATAGGCCAACTTGGCATTCCGGTAAACCAACACGGTTAGTCACCCAGGCTTTGCAAATTGTGTAGAATGCTAGCTCCAACAGAATTTGTTATCACTACAAGTTGTTACTTCATCAATTCGATTGTTTACAAACAAAAAGCTGAGATAAATGGTGCGATTTACCCACGGGGCATCATGGCAAAAAAAAATCAACATTTTTTTTTTAGGACATAATATTTTTCAATTCAGTTCAATTCAAAGGAAACATTTATTTCCATACTTTCCACAAATAAGTCAAACTAAGTTTTTAAATAAAATAAGGTAATTAGATACAGTAAATAAATAATAATACAACAATGTAGTATAACGACTAGATATGTTAAATTAGGGTGAAGAGTATGGGGCTGTTCATATAAACTGGAGCTTGTAGAGAACAGCCTTACACATAAGCGGACAATACAGGACAGTATACACAGACAATAGGAACAAACACGAAAACAGTCAAAGGGAAACTAAAGACAAGACAAAACAAAACAAAACACGAGACGAGACACTAAAAACCGAGACAAATTGAATAGTTGCGATGAGGATAAGATAAAAGAGACGAAAAGAAAAGATTTTGCCCTTGGACTCGGGAGGTTTTTTTTTTCTCTATTGAGAAAAGCAATTTAAGTTGGGAGTTTATTTTTGTGAGTAACAGCGGTTTGTTTTTATGAGGAACCCCTTGTAAATAATGGATGGATAAGTACTTGTGGGACGTGTATAGAGGAAGTTGACAGTTAAGTTCCTAAGTGGCCTTTTTGAGGCAAACGCTTGGCAGCAAAACTGTACAGTGAATCACTCCTATCATAAGATCAAAGAGTGTTTGCGATCAGTGCATTTCTGAGACTCAACCTGAACTGGCCAAAATGTCCATTTGAGAATGTTTGACTTGATCGTCCTCTTTGATAGACTAAAGGACCTGTGTGAGCGCCTGATGTTTCTGCAGCCGGTAGACTACGGTCGCAAGGCAGAGGAACTCCTATGGAGAAAGGTCTACTATGATGTCATCAGCGTTGTCAGGAAAAACAAGAAGGTGACATTTGTCTTTCTTTACAGACTACCAGTCCTGATGAACCACTTTGCTTTGGTCGTAAACCACGCCCACTTTTGGTGTCTGTACATTTCTCAGTTGGCACAAAGCTTGTGACCAAGTCTGACCAAACTACTGTGGTCACCTGATCAAAAACTCATGATCTTATTGGTCAGTGTATACTGTTTGATTGACAGGTGGATTAGAGGGTCCATTTGTTTAAGGGCATGGCATAACTTTCATGGTAGAACTTTCATTTTACAGCTCAGCACTATATTGTCAGACTGTGAGATTATTAACCCTAACCCCCTAGGCCTTTTTGCTAGGAACCATCCTCAATCCTCCAAAATCTTACAACAGCGCCTAAATTCTTCAAAATTTTCAGACAGTCCTGCCTCAAAATGCATTCATCCTCAATTCTCCAAAATCCTCCTCATCCAAAAATGTTGCACTTATGTTCAAATGAAGGGTACCCAGCCCCTCAATCCTTCAAAATCGTCAGACAGTCCTGCCTCAAAATACCATTCAGCCTCAATCCTCAAAAATCCTTTTCTGAAAAAATACCATTCAGCCTCAATCCTCCAAAATCCTTTTCTGAAAAAATACCATTCAGCCTCAATCCTCCAAAATCCTTTTCTGAAAAATACCATTCAGCCTCAATCCTCCAAAATCCTTATCTTAAAAAATACCATTCAGCCTCAATCCTCCAAAATCCTCCAAAACCACAAGGATGATTTTGGAGGATTGAGGAGGGTTAGGGTTAAATTATTTTATGCAAAGTAACTCTTTTACATGCACTTTCAGCCATAAAGTGAAAAAAAAGTTACGTGTAAAGTAGCTTCTAATGCAAGACATCAACTTGACCTATTTATGCTAGAGCTTCACCTTAAGCTCAACATTTCCCCTGCCACATTGCAAGCCTTATGAAAAGTGCTCTGACCACTGGCCTTGTATGACTGGATTTGAGATGTCTGTAGCAAGAGAGTGTGTAGGTATTGAATCAGAACCTGTCTAGTCAGGAACCTTAAATCATGAGGCCCAAAGACCAAGCTAAGGTTCAGTAAATCCCTGCATTACAACCCAACTTTGCAGTTTGTGTCAACCAAAACCCTGCCAGATACAACATATTTGCAACAGGTGCAAAAGTCTGTGGGGCTTACCTTGCTGCATTGAGCAATCAACACTAGTGCATAAACTGCCACTTCAGAATCAGCTAGTCCCTTTGAACAGTGCCACCGTTGTATCCTGTTGCAGTCACCAACCATTGACTCTGAGGCAGTTTGGCCTTAGGAATTTTGACCGTTGTTGCAATTTTTGGCAGGCTTCTCACTTTAAAAGCATTGCAAGTTGTTGCACTGGGCAGCATATCAAACCAAAATACCCTAAGGGTTAAGAAGGTCGCGATGAACAACAAAATACCATCGGTGTTGATTTATTGGGTCTGGGGTGCACAGTGGATCACCCCAACCCATGGACTTATACTCGTTTCTCTCCACGTCCCCCTCAGCATGTGCGCCCCGGTTCCTCTCTGGAGTGTGCCTACCACACGCACCTGTTGGCAGCTACAGGCTTCTACCATCACCTGCTACTACGTCTCCAGCAGCAGTACAAGCTGAGTCTGTGCGGCATCGTGGACTTTGTGGATGCTGGGGACCACTGGACAACTAGAGGTTTGGAAAAGTTTTTTTGTTTTTTTTCGTGGGAGATATAAAAGTTAGTTTACAGACACTTTTCACTTGGCAGCCACCTTGAGAGGTTGTTTTGGTTGTTTTAATCCAGTAATGATGAATTCACAAGAGGTCAACTCGCGTTAATCATGCATATCCTTGCAGAACGAATGTACACACCTCAAAGATGGCTGCATTGTGTTTTTATTGTTATCATATTTCTGGTAATGAAACCAAGGATTCCTCAAAAGCAGCCCAGGCACTGAAGCTCGCAAGCCTGAAGAAACGTGTAGAGAAGACAGTGAGAAGGAATTACAGTTTTAGAGGTCGGAGGAAAACCCAGAAGAATATTCTGGGGAAAACCCACAGAATCAGGTAGGGACTGAAAACCCAATCCACATGTGAACCAGGGCAGGAATCGAACTCTGGTCACAGCGGTGGAAGGCGAAGAACGAAACCACTGCCCCAACCTGCGTCACGCCTTGCAAAGGATCTATACAAGAACTTCTAGGTTTGGGTTCACGCAAAATTGATCATTGTGTCAGCTATTCAGTTACATTTTTTCAGTTTGATTATTTATAATCCACTTTACTGAAAATGTAGGCATCCTTTCTGAAGGTGTGCAAGAGCACAGGCTGAAAAGTCTCAAGTTAAAAAAAAAACCGAAACAAATTCACACATATAACTCTTTCACAAGGAGGTGGGACAAACCCAAGGATGGAAGTATAAAAAACCGGAAGGTATTATGTTTGCTTTTTTCAGGTCCATTGCCACCTCCTGGCAGCAAGCGAGCCAAGGCCAGAGATTGGGCTGAGAAGGCCTGCCATCGATGCCTGATTTATCTGGGTGATCTCGGTGAGCTAACAACATCCAGAACTTCTTGTCTTTTGTAAAATCTTTGTGAATACCTCAAACATCATATCCTGTTTATTGTGTACTTCAAAGAGTTAATACTGGGTTTTGTCTTTCACCAATGTAAATGTATGAGCACTGTGTACTAAGTGTTGTCAAAGAGCTTGTGAAATTAAAAGTCTCAAGCTTGCTCAGTCGGGACTTGAACCCACGACCTTCTAGTTGCTTATGCAGACATCTTTTACTGATTGATCACTGAGCATGCCAGGGTTGGCTTCCTAACTTGAGTCCAAGAGAGCGGCAGATATTGCATCAGTGATTTAAAATGGAATTAGCATCAAATAAATGTGAACTTCAAAGATGTGGGCGTTATGGAATTGACTTTTTATGTGGGTATGTAGACCCCAACAAAAATGTTAATCTAAATAAACATTAACATATCCCCAAGCAAAGTCTGTCTTATTTTTTTTATTTTGCTTGCCCATCGGATTAATGATTATAATTATTACCTGAGACCCTATTTAATCCATCACTCTCTGCACTCTAAATTACTCCAGCACTTGTATGGATTTTTGTATTCATCAGGGAATAAATACAATGTATTACAATGTAGTACAGGAGTTATTGGATTATGATTTTTACATTTTTCTTAATGATTTGTTACTTTGTAGCCCGTTACAGACAGGATTTTGACGGGTTTCGTAGCCGTCTGCAAGCCGAGCGTTTCTACCATCAGGCACTGTTATTGAATCCTGCCATGGGGATGCCTCATAACCAGCTGGGAACGCTGGCTGGGAACCGACACCAGGGGCTGGACTGTGCTTATCATTACCTCAGATGGTTAGTAAAACAAATACAAAAATAGTTTGAGAAGAAGTAATTAATGCGAAATTACTTATTACTTGGCATTTGTTGATTTATTTGACTACCTCCAAAATTCAGCCGATGGACCAGTCGTTTGTTGCATTTGTTTTATCATACCTCCTGTATGTTTTGCTCCATTATAAAATTTGACGAAATTTCTGTGGAAAATCCCATTTACATGTGTAATTATTCATCTGTTATGAAGGTTTCAGTGTGGTACCATGAGCAACCTGACTTGCGGTCACAACTGTTGCATAGTTAGGAGTCTAGAAGCTAGTCTTGGGATACTCCCGTCCAGTTGGGCCATGGCACATACTTTTGTATGTGCAGGGTAGCCACTTTTACTTCACAGATGCTCTGGAACATAGACCAATGAAAGAAGTGCTTTTGCCTCTACATATTTTTGAGGTGTAATTATTGGCTATAAACTCTGCATGAACAGTAGACAGCGCTTCATGACCACGCACAAGAGCTACATGTGTGGTACACAATTGTACATGCACTGGTTGGTGTGCAAATGTTGCAGTTAAGTGGCTTGCCCAAGAACACAAGCACCATGCCCCCACCTGCAACATACTGTAACAAAATGCTACTGTTCTTTGTTTATATTTGACAGCTGGCTGTCTGAGATTCCCTTTGACGGCGCCATCGCCAACCTGGAGAAGACCCTTGAGCAGAACACAAAGCGCTATGAGGAGCTCCCCCGCCAGGCCAACCGTGACCTCCCTCCTGACCTGCAAAGGTCAGGGGTCAATCCATTCATTCTTAAGCCTGGTGGTACAGACCAGTTAAAAATGCCATAGACTCCATTGATAAATAGCCTCGCTTCGAAATATCAGAATATACCCTCCAAGGTATTCAAGACACACATCAAATCAAAGCTTGATTTAACCCTCTTTCATTTTCTGTTCAAGTTTATTGGGAATTAAGTGATAAGTTTTGTGTGATTCTTCCGTCCAAACATAATCAAATGCCATTTTGAAAAATGATCCCTACACTCTATTGCAATATAGAGTGACTTTCAGATCCAAGTTCATCTTAAATTTTCCAAATATAGAAACTGCAAGGGCCACTAAATCTCTTTTAATAAAGAGATCTCTTTGAATTAATCTACCGATCTGTAAAGCCCAGACCATGCTGATTTGACCAGTCACGGCCGCGGGTGCGCAGCCAAGCGTCCAACGAAAAACCTTTACATACTTGAACTTATCCATTCCTGATGCAATGTCTAGAACATGCAGTGTGACATTTTAGAGTTGTGTGTGTGGTTGCCCGTGAGTGCAGTGGTGGAGCTGAATTCTTTGGTCTATTAGCATTGGGGCTTTTAATTATCATGATATTTTTTCTTGGCAGACCAAGGGACCTGAAGCATTTCCTGATCAAGTTCCTCTACCTCCAGGAGCTGCTGCAGCCCGGCGCCTGGCCCTCCCAGGAACAGCTTGCCAGCCTCTGCCAGAACGTCGTCCACGACTTCAGCCTGTGCATGTACCACACCCTGACCCAGCGGGGCGCCCCCCGACCCAGGGGGGCTAACCCCTTACCCAGGGGGGCCGACACCCCCAGGGAGTCCACCACCATGTCTGATGATATGGTCTTCAAGCTGTTCAGCATGACCATGATGACAATTTACAAACTGAAGAAAACAGGTAGGAAAATATAATCAGTTCTGATCCCAATTTTATGGCAGTGCAAAGCTCACAGATCCTTTGCAGACAGAGCCACAAACCCTTTCTTGGAGCTGATACAACACTAACATCAGAAGCAGAGAGTGCTTAAAATAGAGATGCAACACTAGAAATCACCATGCACGCACAAGCATTAGCATACATCTGTACCATAAAATATGCTGGACTAGTGATTGACTTGTGATTTGACGTGTTGTTGGCTTGTGATTGACTTTTGATTGACTGGTCATTTGTCTTGAGATTGACTGATCATTGATAAATAATTGACTTGTTACCGACTTGATTTGTGATGGACTAACTTTTGATTAACCAGCAATTATCTTTTGACAGACTTGCCTGGTTATTTGTCATGTGATTTGGCTTGTAATGTGACTTGTGATTGACTTGTGATTGACTTTTAATTTTTCTTGTGATTGACCTGTGATGGACTTGTGATGGAAATGCAATGGACTTGCAATTGGATTACGGTTGACTCGCGATATACTAACCATTTGTCTTGTGATTAACCTGTGATCAACTTATGATTGACTAGCCATTTGTCTTGTGATTAACTTGTGATCAACTTATGATTGACTAGCCATTTGTCTTGTGATTGACTTCAGATCAACTTATGATTGACTAGCCATTTGTCTTGTGATTAACTTGTGATCAACTTATGATTGACTAGCCATTTGTCTTGTGATTAACTTGTGATCAACTTATGATTGACCAGCCATTTGTCTTGTGATTAACTTGTGATCAACTTATGATTGACTAGCCATTTGTCTTGTGATTAACTTGTGATCAACTTAAGATTGACTAGCCATTTGTCTTGTGATTAAGTTGTGATCAACTTATGATTGACTAGCCATTTGTCTTGTGATTAACTTGTGATCAACTTATGATTTAATTGCCATTTGTCTTGTGATTAACTTGTGATCAACTTATGATTGACTAGCCATTTGTCTTGTGATTAACTTGTGATCAACTTATGATTGAATTGCCATATGTCTTGTGATTAACCTGTGATCAACTTATGATTGACTAGCCATTTGTCTTGTGATTAACTTGTGATCAACTTATGATTGACTAGCCATTTGTCTTGTGATTAACTTGTGATCAACTTATGATTGACTAGCCATTTGTCTTGTGATTGACTTCAGATCAACTTATGATTGACTAGCCATTTGTCTTGTGATTAACTTGTGATCAACTTATGATTGACTAGCCATTTGTCTTGTGATTAACTTGTGATCAACTTAAGATTGAATTGCCATTTGTCTTGTGATTAACCTGTGATCAACTTATGATTGACTAGCCATTTGTCTTGTGATTAACTTGTGATCAACTTATGATTGAATTGCCATTTGTCTTGTGATTAACCTGTGATCAACTTATGATTGACTAGCCATTTGTCTTGTGATTAACTTGTGTCTTGTGATCAACTTATGATTGAATAGCCATTTGTCTTGTGATTAACTTGTGATCAACTTATGATTGACTAGCCATTTGCCTTGTGATTAATCTGTGATCAACTTATGATTGACCAGCCATTTGTCTTGTGATTGAGTTGATAACAACACTGCATCCTCCCACAGATCGTAAGTGGGTCTCGGCCGCCATTGCCTTCATGCTGGCCATGTTCACTCATCTCCTGACGCACGTCAACGAGCGACTGCAGAGCGCCCTCTACGAGGCCCAGCACCCGAGACAAATTGGTGACGACGAGGATGACAGCTCAGGTGAGGGAAACCAGTGATGAGCGGGAACCCGTGAGGAGGGATTTTGTCAAAGCGCAATCTATCTCTGTCAATTCTTTAACCAACAGACCACATCAAAAATGTGAACACCAAAAATTAAGAAATTCACTTATTGTGAAATTTTAGGTAACATTTTTGCTCTAGCAAGGTACTAGAGGCGAAAAATCAAAGTGCCCCGTGTTAGGGGCCACGCCACGTTAGGGGACATCAGCAATAGTTTTGTTAAGCAATTATTTTCAGTGCTTAGCAAATTTCTGTACGAAGCAGCTCCAGTGAATAGGACACTTATCATCATATCTGTCTTTCTATCTTCCTGTCCCCAATTCAGATGAGAGCAGTAGTCAGACAGATGAGTCAGGTAATGAGCAACGCAGCCTGGCTGGTACCCTGACTCCCACCCATAGTCAAGAGGTCGAGAGCTCAGGGACCTGCAGCGATGGCACAGTCAAGCATCCCCCACACAAGGTCAGTTTGGAGCAAGTTTGAACAAGAAGTATAGCTAACCATAGTTACAACTGTCTTCACTCGAACCAACACAAGAGTAATTGACTATAAGGGCTATAGTAATACTTGACTTACTTGACTTAATGCTGTCCTCCCTTGGCTTCTGTAAGAATCCTTGGAGCTAGCAGCCGCTTCACTATGGAGGACCATTCCCTTCTGTTTCCAACCAGACGTCTCGCTGCACATACCGTTGGAATCCCAATTTCTTGGCAGCTTGATTTGATGTTGTCTAGCCATCGTTAGGGGGTCTACCTCTGGGTCGATGACCTTGGATCCTTCCCTCAACTGCTAGCTTAGGGTATCTGTCATTTGTCAACCTGATGATATGTCCAAAGTAGGACAGTTGTTTGGCTTGGATCTTGTCTACTATGGTGGTCTGAGAGTTGGTTTTTTCTCTGATGTTAGTATTTGTATCGTTTCGGTTTTGCGGTAACACCATGTGGTAATAACTACTGCTTAGAAGATATTAGTTCTGAGAAGAACTTGTCCTGCTTATTATCAACTTGCCAAGTAGTTTTTTTTTTGTTCTGTTTAGAACAGTTGATTGGGAACAAGCGGAAATCATAGCCCCAGAGAAACACTGGTACACCCGTCGTATCAGAGAAGCTATTGAGATCCACAAACATGACACTGTCCCACAAGAAATCGGCTACTTCATAAGCCACATATGGCATTCAGTTATTCCAAGTTGCAACACCCGTGGCTCACAGCCAACTGACACACCTGAGCGAGCAGGACGCTCAGCGGGCATCCCTCAACACAATGCCCAAGGCTCACAGCCAACTGACACAGTCGAGCGAGCAGGACGCTCAGCGGGCATCCCTCAACACAATGCCCATGGCTCACAACCAACTGACACACCCGAGCGAGCAGGGCATGCCCAGCAAGCACTCCTAATCCTAACAAACCCTACTTAAGGAGTAGCATCTCCAACTTTCTTCAGTCTCCTGACGATGACTAGAGCAGGCTAGTCGAAACGTTGAGACCAAAGACAAGTTCTTTTAGAACTTACAGCAGGACTGTTCTAAACAGAACAAAAAAAACTACTTAGCAAGTTGATAATAAGCAGGACAAGTTCTTCTCAGAACTAATATCTTCTAAGCAGTAGTTATTACCACATGGTGTTACCGCAAAACCGAAACCATACCGATACCCCACCATGCAAAGCCTCAAATCTTATGTTAGTATTTCTTATCTTGTCCCTTCTGGAAACGCCCATGATTCTTCTCAGGCATGACATTTCGAAAACCAGTAGTCTGTGTTCGTCTTTTTTCTTCAGGGTCCAAGACTCAGAGCCATATGTTGCAAGTGCTAAGATGAGTACTCTGTAGAGCTCCATTTTTGTGCTTGTGGTTATTTCTTTGGATTTCCAGATTGGTGTCAGTTTACACTATATTAAAATTTAATCCAAGAATCATCCAAATTGATTTCTAATATGTACAAGTAACAGCTTTCTTTTTTTTTATACAAATATTGTCTCTTACAGGACAAGCGTCGTAAGCCCTTGAATAGGCTCCGACGCAGACGGCGCCCTCTACAAGAGGGCCGGCCCGAGAGCGAGGATTCAGACCTGAGCGAGGGCGCCCTGAGCGCCAGCGGAGGGTCGGACTTCAGCTCGTCGGATGGGGAGGGGTCAAGCGAGGGCGGGCTTCTGGCCCTGTCGGACAGCGACTACCTCATGGACAGCCAGGATCAAGAGGAGGAACAGACCCCAGGTCAGAGATGTAATCAGGTCAATTACTAGTCAATCAAGTCCAGTTAAGTCAATTACTGGTCAATCGCAAGATAATCACAAGCTTAAAATAAAAGACAGTTTTATTGTTTTCTAGTGTTGTTGAGATGCCTGCAATGGATCACAAGAACATCACAAGTCCAGTCACGAGTAAATCACAAGTCCAGTCACAAGTTGATCACAAGTCCATTCGCAAGTCCAGTCACAAGTAAATCACAAGTCCAGTCACAACTCCAGTCACAAGTAAATCACAAGTCCAATCACAAGTCAATTCGCAAGTCCAGTCACAAGTAAAACACAAGTCCAGTCACAAGTCCAGTCACAGGTAAATCACAAGTCCAGTCACAAGTCAATTCACAAGTCAATTCACAAGTCCAGTCACATGTAAATCACAAGTCCAGTCATAAGTAAATCACAAGTCTAGTCATAAGTAAATCCACAAGTCCAATCACAAGTCAATTCGCAAGTCCAGTCACAAGTAAATCACAAGTCCAGTCACAAGTCCAGTCACAAGTAAATCACAAGTCCATTCACAGGTAAATCACAAGTCCAGTCACAAGTTAATCACAAGTCAATTCACAAGTAAATCACAAGTCAATTCACAAGTCCAGTCACAAGTAAATCACAAGTCCAGTCATAAGTAAATCACAAGTCCACTCACAAGTCAATTCACAAGCAAATCACAAGTCGATTCACAAGTCCAGTCACAAGTAAATCACAAGCCAATTCTCAAACAAATCACAAGTCCAGTCACAAGTAAATCACAAGTCAAGTAACAGGAATGAACAGTAACAAGGATAACATTGCGATCAGAGTAACTGGAAGTCAATTGTTTTCTAGTCTTGTAGTCCTTGTGATGGATTGTTGATCAAAGGTACATCACAAGCCCGGCCACAAGAAAATTAATAGTCAATTCACAAGTCCAGTCACAAGTTACAGGGGATGAACAATAAACAAGGAATGCCCATGTCACAGCTCATTGGGATGTCTTGTGAATTGAGATGGGACTGGGTGACTTGTGATTGAACTTGTGAACATTTGTGATCCATCACAAGCTGCTCAACTACAACACTGTTGTTTTCCTAATGCAGAGAAAGACAAAGAGAAGAAAGGGGACACCGAAAAGGCATTGAGTGAGAAGGAGCCTCCGACCCAAGCAGACAAAGGTAGAAGCTAAAACGCACTGGAAATGTTGTAAATGTTAGAACCAAGTTTCACAACAAACCGGTTCTTTCAGAACCACACTTCTTCTCAAAAGTAAAGTTTCAAATCTTATCAAATCTGCCTGCTTGCCCTGATGAGGCTTAACCACACAAAATCATTGTGCAAGGATTTGAAGTGTTATCCATACTCCACAGAAGATTACCTCCAAGGAATTTGAAGTGTGTGTGTTAAATGACAAAAGTGGTTTTGCAAAACTTGAAGGGATGTGAAGTGCAGAAGACTGGGGATGGTATTAAATAGGGCCTTGTGATGGGTGACTGTCATAAAAAGAAAACCACTCTTCAATCTAAAACTTTGACGACTCTTCTATTTTTCTAGTCAAGGAGTGGTCGACCACAAGCCCAGTCTCCCTGGCCCAGAACCTGCGGGACATGTCCTCCCGTCTCCTGGCCCCGAGCCCGACTGGGTTCCTCAAGCGAAGCATCCGCCTGGCGCCAAGCTTTGATGCCTACGTCAAGGAGAAGGCAGAGTCTGTCAAAGATGCAGGGGCGGGAGGAGGGGAATCGGCGGGGGATGCTGTTAAGACGGAGGAGAAAACAGGTGATGAGAAAAGCACAGTGTGGACCACTTTTTCTTAGCATTATAATATGGGAAATCAAATTGGGTTTTGCCCTTCACCGACATATAAACACTGTGTACTCAGTGTGCTACAACCACCCGAGTGCTACAACCACCCGAGTGATTTTTTCCAACTTTCACTCGGGAGGTAACACACTGAGTATACAGTGTTTATACGTAGGTGAAGGGCAAAACCTAATTTGATTTACATCACCCTGACGCAAAATTCCATCTTATGAATTTGGGAAATGTTTTCACTGCCCATTGAGCATGGGTAATAAGGATGCAGTACATAATAGGTGGCAATGATATAAGAAATATATGCATTCCATGAGTATACATGTTATTATCAATGTCCAATAAAAACACCTCTGTTGATTGGTTGGAATTCATTAAATTATTGACTCTAGGTGTTGAGACCACCGGCCAATCAGACGCCTCGAGAGAAGACGCAGACAGCAAGCCCTACCCGCTGGACCTTCAGATTAAGGTCCTGAACGAGGAACGACTCCTGGGCACGGTCAAGCTCATCACTGATTGGCTGAGGGGAAACAGTGATGTCATCACAACAACTGCGGAGGTACGTCTCACAGAATGATGGATTCAGTCAAGTGGAAGCCTGGGGGTGAAGGGGGAGGCGGGGGTGGGGCAGGAGGCTTGGGGAATGCAAGACACATCATAGAAGTTGTTCTATGGCTTGGCGGACGAATAACTTGTTTCCCCAAACTTCACGCATGTATTTAGGGCGCCCCCCCCCCAAAAAAAATGTACAACTTTCGAATCCCATCCAGCTTGACATTATGGATTGATTTTTGAGTCCCTATTGGATTTTTTTTGTTTTTATGTAAATAACCAGAATATTTTGCGGATGTTTACAATTTTTCAGTGCTTTCTGTCCACATGTTTCTTCATTCTTGTATGCTACAGTGCCGTGGGCATTATTTAAACCATTACTGGTTTCATGACCTGAAGTAGATAAAAATAATTTTCATGTTTTGTTGTTTTTCACTCAGAACACCCAGATGCTTTGGTCTAAGCTAGCCTTGCTACTGAATCAGCTGCCACAAGTTGAAGATATTTGCTCCAATGGTAGGACATGCTAGCTAGGAGCTTTTTTTCCGAATTGTTGGCTTCATTCTGTTTGAAACATCAAATGCTATCTTTATGTGACAACAATTTTGATGTTTATAAAGAAAAAATAAAAATTTGGCATTGAAAGCTTCTAAATTGTTCTCAATCCAGATGGGGGCAATACCGCAATTTGGAAAAGCCCCTCAGCTTTGTTTCAGTAGTTATTGATCCTTTTCCAGTTCTTGTCACTGACCCGACAGAAACACATTAGACATTGGACATATTGTATATTTTGTCTATGGAAGATTTGAGAATACTGTTCAATGCCAGTGTAACTTCATGCTTCCAGAATACAAAACTGACCCTCCCTTTTTTTCCCAAAGGCTGTCTATCTGACTTGTTGAACCTTTTTTTTAACACCAAATTCACAACATCAGTTTAGTTATCACCTGTGTCTCGCTTTGACATTTGTCCCACTGTTTCACTGGCTCCCAACAGAATGGTGCAAGTCTTCAGAGGCTCTTGAGGCAATTGCCGGTAGCCTGCAGGCAACCCCTGGTGCTTGGCAACAAGTCATCCCACTCACTGAGGATGTGGCTGTGATGAGGCTGCCCTCGCTTGGTGACACCCAGAAGGTCATGGCCTTTGACCTGCACATGACCCACGACCTCACTGAGCGAGATGAGGTGAGAACATAGAGAGTTTTTGAAATCCTGGCTTCATCTCAAGCTTTGGCTTCTTATCTAGTTTCAAAATCACATGGAAGCCTTTAATCCTAACTGTCCTCTATCCTCCAAAATCCGCTAGGCGATTTTGGAGGATTTTGAAGGGTTGAGGCTGACTGTCATAAAAGCGTGGGTTGATTTGGGAGGATGCATTGTGTCGCGTTAGAAGCCTGTGTCCAGCATTGTTTATGTTCAGCCATGCATACTTGAAGCCAGCATTAGGCTTGATATCATCCGCATTGCTTCTGAATGTCATCGGCACTGCCTCAGCCCATGCACTGTGATTGTTGGAGGATTTTGAAGGATTGAGGCAAAGGTCACCCCTCCACTGAACAGATTCAAGAAATAATGGATGATTTTGGAGGATTGAGGTTGAATCAAATTTGTTTACATGGTGGCAATTGGAGGATATAGGATTGAGGATGGTTCCTAGCCAAAAGGGCCTAGGGGGTTAGTTTTATTGTCATATGGAAATACTCCAAACTTCAGCTTTATATTATATGCTTTTATGTTCCTGGACAAAATCATGAACCCACATTGAACCTAAGCCCACCAAGTAAGGGGCCTTAAATCTCCTAGAGTCAAAGTTGGAAACAAAGCCAATTTGAAAATCCCCCATAAATGTGCCATTTGCTTGCATAAGAGCATATAGTAGCAGTGACTAACAATGCAGTACAGCATGATCACAAAAGGTTACCACAGAGAAGACATTTTTTTTTGCAAAAAGCCGACATCTTGAAAAAAAGTCAACATTAGCATACAAAACAATTTTAGTCAGATTTGTCGGTGTGCACGCATAAGTAGTTTATTAGAGGCTACTGTTTTGTATGGTATTGCATGTGAACAAGCCATGTGTGTAACTGCAGGACAATAATACGCAGGATATTGACTGTGACGTTTAATGTTTGGTGTCCCACGGACGTGCGTGCGTCACTCGCATTTGTTTATTGGTAATCTGAATTGATAACCACATCACCTTATGTTACTTCAATCAAAGTCACAATTGTAGATGAAAAAGTCAGCCATTTGGGTGAGTTTTTTGTGGCTTCTGAATGCACAAGGGTCAGCAACCTCTTGATGGACATGGCCCTGTGTCGATGAAACTGAGCCTTTACTTCCTGTCCAACACTTGCTACATCCTGGCTAAACTGATTCACTCACTGAAACCACCGTTGAAACTTAAAGCCACATGCCACAAACTGTTTAAGTCAACCCCAGCTGTCAACCACCCCTCTCCATATCTCTGCTCATGTAGTCCCTTCTCCCCCCCCCCCCCCCTCCAATTTAAAAACCAGTCCTAGGATCTCAACACAAGCAAGGGCAGGATTGGGTGTCAATTAGATTAGTAAGTGGTGAAAACTAAAGCCAAGTGCCAAAAATAGTTGACCAACCAACCCCCCCCCCCATACCTCTTTCTATCAAGTCCCTCCCCCCCCCCTCCCCCCACCTAAGTAAAACATACAACCATTTCTATGATCCCAACAAAAGCAAGGGCAGGATTTGGTGTCAATTAGATCAGCACATGGAGAAAAGTATTAAAAGCCAAGTGCCACAAACTGCTTTAGTCAAGCCCCCCATCTGTCACCAACTACCCCCCATCTCTGCCTACCTAGTCCCACCCCTGCCCCAAAGTTTGAAAACCATTCCTAGGATCCCGGCCAACAATAGCTAGGGCAGGATTTGGTGTCAATTAGATCAGCACGCGGAGAAAAGCAAAGCCAAGTGCCACAAACTGTTTTAGTCAACCATCACCTGTCATCAACTACCCCCTATCTCTGCCCAGCTAGTCCCACCCCTGCCCCAAAGTTTGAAAACCATTCCTAGGATCCCAACAATAGCTAGGGCAGGATTTGGTGTCAATTGGATCAGCACGCGGAGAAAAGCAAAGCCAAGTGCCACAAACTGTTTTAGTCAACCATCACCTGTCATCAACTACCCCCAATCTCTGCCCAGCTAGTCCCACGCCTGCCCCAAAGTTTAAAAACCATTCCTAGGATCCCAACAATAGCTAGGGCAGGATTTGGTGTCAATTAGATCAGCACACGGAGAAAAGCAAAGCCAAGTGCCACAAACTGTTTTAGTCAACCATCACCTGTCATCAACTACCCCCAATCTCTGCCCAGCTAGTCCCACCCCTGCCCCAAAGTTTGAAAACCATTCCTAGGATCCCAACAATAGCTAGGGCAGGATTTGTGTCAATTGGATCAGCACGCGGAGAAAAGCAAAGCCAAGTGCCACAAACTGTTTTAGTCAACCATCACCTGTCATCAACTACCCACAATCTCTGCCAATCTAGTCCCACCCCGCCCCCAAGTTTAAAAACCATTCCTAGGATCTCGACAAAGGCAAGGGCAGGATTTGGGTGTCAATTAGATTAGCACGCTTTGGGAACTAAAGTCACGTGCCAAAAACGGTTTCACTTTACCTCTACCTGTTATTAACCACCCCCCATATCTCTACCCATCTAGTCCCCCCCCCCCCCCCTTTCCCAAGATCCCAACATAAGCAAGGGCAGGACTTGGGTGTCAATTAGATTAGCACATGCTGAAGCTGGATCCCCTAAGATCCCCAACTTCCCCTCTTTGCAAATTGATCCGGAACAAAATAGTCGACACCTTTGGGAGTTTGCTGCCTGTTAATGTTGTCTCTCTCTAAAAAAAGTGAGGTGCCAAAAATATTGCACCCCAGGGCTAACAAACTAGGTCATTCATGGCTCGGGCGCTAAATGAGAGAAGGCTAGCCAAAGGTGCCAGGTGACAGAACTCCAGTTGGTCGTGATTAACGGGGATTAGAAGTTGTCGCCTCTTCGCCTGAAGGCCGACTGTGTTTCATTGACAGACGAGCTGAGTCGAGTGTGAAGTTTTTACACAATGATTTAATTTGCGGACTGAGAGAGAGATCATATTGCAGTTGAGTTCACCCGAAAAAAAGGTCCTTTTAATTTTTTTCTCAGGTGTTAATGTGATACCAGACATGGGATTAGCCGATTAAATGGTCTTTGCGTAGATAATAATAAAAGGAAATCCCATGCAATTGGACCCAGGTGCAGTGGCAGGTGTTAATTCGAATGCTGATGTTTGGGAATTTTTGTTTCCGCTAACGAAACCATGTGTTGTAACTTGTAACTTGGATAAAGACATCAACTGATAGAATTTTCAGATCACTGTAAGAGGCCAACAGAGTCAGCCATTTTTTTTGATTTGAAGACTACAACCCCAGTCACCCTTGACCAGTTCAACACAATTAACCCCTCCTATCAAAATCACCACCAAAGCCATGAACAATGGCACCCTCCCCCGCCCCCCCCCAAAAAAAAAAACACAACACTACAGTGCAACATTTTCCTGAGGACAGACAGAGCATACAGTCCAAAATATTGTGGGACATTTCTCACCACTGATTCTTTGGGAAACCCATTCTTCAATTGAGAGATTAAATATATCATAAGCTTACCTGCAAAACTTATTCTTGTCGGTCACATCCTGCGGTCACATTTGGGAATACCAGCTGATTTTGAGAAGAATTTAATGTGACTTTTCACAGGCAGTATATTCTATTTCATCGTCTGTTGTGTGTTGGACTCCAGTATTTGGAAATGGTTCTGTAGTGGTGTCAGGGAACCGTAGAGGATAACTTAGGTTTGAGGTTGGCAAGAGACCAGTTGCTTTAATAATGCCAATCACACGGTCTTCAAATTGGGAGTAAGTTTGTCGGAATGATTTTTGTTCTTCTCGCACATTTTCAAAGTTCTACAAAAGTGGTGTAATGTGTTTAGGGTTCAAAGTAGGGCTGTCCATTTTCGGGTAATTTAGTATTCAATTACTCGAAACTGCATTTGACCGAATATTCAGATATTCGAAACTGCCAGCTGCAACTGCCTGCCGTGCCGGTCAATAGTTGCACACGGAGCGCGTCAGTTCAAATTTGCCTGCGGCAATCCATATTGGGCGCCGGAGTGTTTTGCACTAAGTATTTTATGACTGTAAAATGGCTTTAACCTGGTCAAAGGATATGAACAATGAACCGCCGTCGACAAAAAAGATACAGTCGAAGAAAATAAGTGGCTCCTGACAGTAAAACGCTGCAACTCTATGATAAAACAACATCACAGATCACAGTTGTGTGTGTATGTACGTGTTTTGGGTTTTTTTTCCCCAAATATTCAAAGCTATACGAATATTCAGTTGATGATCGACTTTTCAAGTATTTGATATATTAGGGACAGCCCTAGTTTAGAGAAATCATGTATTTCATTCTGTGAAATGTGGACCACTGAAAGACTATAACGTTGTAGCACATGTAAGCGACAAGTTTATGGGGAGTGCTGATTTTGAGATTGTGATGAAACAACAGGACTCTTCTTGCTTAGATTGTGTTGGGATTTACCTGTCAGGTAAACTCATTAGTAGATTGAAAATGAAATGGTATTTGTGACGTTTGTTTTTATTATACCAGCTCCAAACACAAAACCATAGTTTTAGATATAAACCAGAACAAAATAAGCAAACACAGAGGGTTATTAAAAAATACTTGATGACTGTTGGGTGTGTCAAAATGACCTAATTTTTTTCCACGAAACTTTAGTCCGAATATCAATGCAGATATTAATAGGATAGGTAGATGTTAAGTTTTGTTGTTGCCCAATATTGGCCAATGCACTGTGTAAGGACACTATGGTGCTAATTAGTCATGAAGGTTTAAATATACTGCTACTAAAAAAAGATCAATTTCACTTTGCCCACATTGTGGTTAGCATTCCAATTTGGGATCTAGCCAGACCCAACTTCAGTGAAGTGTCCAACCAACGTTTTGGCAAGATTCCAAATTGAGATGTATCCACCGCCCGTGCTGTAGTCAGGAAGGATTTGGGGTTTTGTGGGTTAGCTTCGTGCATGAGCCTCCGGGACATTGATTGACATTTTTAAAGGGAAAATACAACATTTGCAAACATCGAAAAATAT